TACAATTATTACTGTATCTAGTAAGAAATGATGATAATTTGTATTTAAATTATATGTAAAATATCTTAAAAACGTTTAAATAACTTTATGTTATAGTTTCCTTTTTTATTTGTAATAGGAATGGCAAATAAGTTGACGGCACATGTGATAGGTGGTAGCCGCCGCCTATATAGGAAAAGCTCAACGAACATCACGTTATAATGTAACACTCGTAGTACCACATGCATTGCTATTCCTGAGGTCCGAGATATCATGCTTCTTAACCTGTAATGTCATCTATATAATGTATTGTTAAAACTAGAATCACTTAGACTACTAAGTATTTCTAGTTTTAACAATACAATACATTACAAGCTGCAATGTACTACATTTTTCTATAGATTTTTATTATGAATGAACGAAAACTTTCGTTAGGAATCTAAATAAAGTTACATCTATTACTCATTTTATAAATAATAATAATTTAATTACAGTTATGAAAAAATATTATAAATATAAAAATATATTTTATTGCCTTTGTTAATATTAAAAATGTGGTACATCTCAAAGACCCACTGACGATATTGTTATGATTGTATATTTATACCTAATTCAATTCAGTGGGTATCTGCAAACGGCCATAAAATAAATCTGGTCATAAATAAAAGGAGGCGCTAACAAGCGTCTCGAGTTCACCAAGTGATATTTCTTGGCGCTACTCGCCATTTTTGTCATAACTCTATTATGTTTCCGAGTGTCGAAATGTGAGATCGTTTCGTTTATAGACTTTTCTTTATTAATTTATATTGTCTTACATGTAATAATTAGTAATTTTATAATTTAAAAAATAATAATATTACGAAACCAACAACTATATACTATAACTCCAATAGATGCCTAGTAAGCCTAGTTAAACGAACACTATATGATATATATATGTATACGGAAAATCTCTTTCCAGATTTCAGTAAGACTTGTTCAAAACCAAATATGTTATATGAAGTTTGTTTGTATCGAAGGCCTATTATAACGATATTATAGTTTTTATTTATGACACGTTTTGGTTTTATGATTACATAAACATTATTATTATTATAGGCTACATCATGTCGTGTATTCCTGTGAACTCATTAAGCGATAAATTATACAATGAAACATACAAGTAACCCTACATAATAGGTCGTTACGTTTCGTACATTTTATTTATTACATGTTTTATTCACTACGCACAGTTCTCTCTTTTTAGTTGACACCCGCGCCCGCCGGTTGATAGTCCGAATAACTTTGTATCTATTATTTTATAAAACAGAACCCGTTATTATCCACTCGGTTAGTATAGGATTTTATGATCGTCCCTTACGTTCTTCATATCATTTTATTCTTCATTAATACGGTGACCAATTCTGTAAGTTAGTATTGTGAAACGAAAAACGAATAATAAGAAAAACTACAATTGTATATATATATATATATATAGAATATATAATTAACATTATTGATATGAGTGACATATTTGATTCGATAACTTTATTTTCTTTCATAAATGCTACCCCTTTTTGCTGACTACAAAAAAAAGGTCAATTTCTTTTCTCATTTGGCTATCGGATCCCAAACCTAAGCATTTGCGATCGTTGATCCTGATCACAGAGGGTGGTCGGGAAACAAATTTAACCGACAATTGTAAATCAATTAGAGAGGGTGGTCTCGCGGGGTGTAATGGCTACCCCCACCCACGTGATGTACCAGGGCCGGAGTTAAAAGAGTATAATATATGTGAAGATAAATATTGTAATATTCAATATATTGTTCCACGGAAAAAAAATTAACCATAGACAAATTTACATGACTCTCCTTAAGAGTTCGCGTTTTAGTAGTACCTAACTATGTATATTGCTATGTCTTACTCTTTGGTCTGAATTTGGAATAAGTCATATATGCATAGTCTAGACTGAAAGTAATTGTCCCTACAGACCTGAAATACTCAGAGACTTTTCATATTCATTGCATTTTCACAAAAAGTTATGCCTTATAATATACATAATTGTTTAATATTGCATCAGAAATAAAATAGGCACGTATAAATTGATAAACTACTATGTTAATTAAAGTGACACTCGGTGCCTCAGGCGTTAATTAATTAATTAAGAAACCGCGGCGTTCCTCTCTGGCCTGAATAGGTATTCATAGTGGGGACTGTTCAAGTGCATATTGTGATCTACGCAATACACCCTCCTTCCACCGCCCCTGCTCTTCACGTCTGATCCAGGACTCCTGTCTTCGAGGAGTCGTGAATTGCATAATGTATAACATAATATGTTGAAAAAAAATGCAATACGGCCAAAAGTATAGTTCTGACATAAAATTTAATGCAGACATTATTTTTAGAATTTTGGTAATAATGAGGTATGTCTAAGCTACAATATTTAAGTACATACCAGAATACATCCCAATGAAGGCTGATAGTTTTATTACATATCGAGATCTTTTAGGCATTCCCAAAAATAAAATGTACCAATCTCACTATAAAAACATTCTTCAAGGATAAATTGTGATTTAGAGTGGATAATAATAATTTTCTAAAACAAGCCTCTACTACTACTGTGTAGTAGAGAGGCTTGTTTTAGAAAATTATACTATAATACACTGATTTGAAATAAATGAGTGAATACAATGTTATAGCACTGGAATAGTTTTACTAAAACAGTTTTATATTTTTATTTAAATGTTTATCGAATGATTATAAAAAAAGTCGGGTAACTGTTTTGTTAAAACATAATACACCCTCGTAATGGATGACGTCGAGTCGCCGCGCGCTTCCTCGCACCACGGCATTGTCATTGTTCCGCTAATGCACCCCAAACACTGTGTCTATAATTATGTGACGTCACTCAAAATGTAGTAATTACTGTTTAGTCGCAGTGAGTTTACGCTTCGATAATAGATACCGTCATTTTGTCATTTAACTCTATACTAAATACAGTTCAGGCCAATAGGTATGCGTCATTTTGAATACAGGGTTCGATGACGTCGGGGTTCTATTATGTTTATTAGTTTATGAAAATATTACACATTTAGTTTATTGGGTAGTAGCATTTTTATTTTGATATTTAATAACATACATTTAGTATGTCTATTCAAAATATATATATTTGGAGAGTATTAATGAGACCCATATAAAGTTATTGTCGAGTTATATGAAGTAGCTTTGATTATTGTCATAATCAAAGCTACTTCACAGTTACGTTGGATTTATATACTGCAATATGTGTTTTATTTAACACAATGTTAGCATTTGACTATCCCATATAATCGTAAGGATATCAACAAGTAATTTCTTTTTCTTCACTGTGATCAAGTGAATAATTAGATCCCTAGTTAGTTTTGACGTGACTGTTGACGTCGTATCTTGTGCGTCAGTCCGGAGCTAAACGCATTACCGGGGAACCGATAGATGCAGGGGCCGTTTCCACTTGGTTATGCCTTTTATGCGACGATTCATTACTGACGTCGTTAAATAGGGGGCGCGAACAGATAGCCACATTTATTACTTTTGTCAGCGTAAAAATGAATTTGCACTCCAATGATTTTTGGTGACGCTATTCGTTTACCGGTTTTGGTGCATAAATTATTTCGTAAGTTTTGTTTTAGGGAATACTTATAGTTACATATTGTTTATAGAACATAATTATTTCTATTTCATTAGGATTTTTTGTGTGACCTTTATTTTTGTTATACAATCATGTTAATATATGTTTCTATAACTCGTATATTAGCTTTTGTAAAGTTACTTAAAGAACGCGAAAAGGGAATATAAGCTGAAACATAATCATAGATTGATCTAAGTATATTATTATACTAAAACTTGTTTATATAAAATATACTAGAAACAGAATATACTAAGTTCTTCATGAATATAGAGTATGAGTAACCATATAATGCTTTCAAATAGTTTCTTTCCAAGTTTAGTCAAAACTAAACTTGGTAAGAGATTATTCTAATTCCTAATGAAACTGATAACAATAGTAAAAAAAAATATGATCAATACGAGTAATACAAATATGTTATTTCCAAATTGATTCTATAATAATGTATAGATAATAAATATTTCTGTGTCTGATATACTATATTATCCATCAGTTCCATTAGTTTGTAAGCAATGAACTGGGACAACGTACAACATCGACGATAATTCAATCGGTCAGCTTAATGGCTCTATACTGTGCATTGTGTTCAGCGTCAATGTGAATATCAATTGACCTATCTCATGAAATTTATCATTATCACTATCTCATTATTAGAGTAAGTACATATTTTTATTTATTACTACCTACCTACATATTTCAACTCTAATATGTTAAACATTAAAAATTAACGTATTTTTAAACTTATCAGAAAAGAATTATTTCTCACGAGTCTTAGCTATGCGGCATTATTTATTTTTATTATCAGTGTTTTTAATTGTTTTTCTGATAAATGTTATAAATAATACAATGTAGAAATTTTAGGTATTAAACTTAGTAGTTAATGTTTTGCTCTAATAGTGGGCTACGACAAAGGATTTTATAAGTAGATATATTTAACATTTTTTTATTTTCAGTTACAGTTATGCCATTCATAAAAGTCAGAATATTTTAAAATATAAATACGTAATGAAACTTAAACTATGATACAAAAAAAATACAGTGAATGATATCACAACATGACATGTACAGCTAGCTATATCGACTTACTCTCCCGGAGTACTTGCACGAGAGTTGCAGGTGCAAATTCACTTGTCGTCCTATTCCGACGATAGCGCTTTTTAATTATATTTCCCTTGTCGATGCGTCGCATCCAATACATTTTAATTAAAGATAAAATGAGAGCACAGTATATACGGTGTTATCGACATTCCCAACTCTAGCTGTATATGTGAGTACTGCATAGCAGTATAACTTTTTTACTACAATGAAAAATCTGTGCGGGAAGGATTTTTATACAATATACTACAGTAGTTTTACCTTAGGTATGTTTTGTTTCAGGAACTCCCAGTATGAAAACTTCCATGTTGAACAGAAGGGTTATGATCAGATGTACGATGGCGAAGATCTGGAAACTCCACCATCTCCCGATCGACCTCCTCCGCGACCTATAGGTTTGTTACTACATATTTTTAAAATTATATTATAAACATAATATCTTTTGGTCCAATTTAGGCATTACTTGATAGTTAATTTAATGTTTACGTACTAGATGACGACTGTAAAGTAATTCTAGTCCAACCTAACCTAAGATTATTTGTTTCGTGTGACAGAGCAATTGATATTTTAGACAATACACACCCAGCGCCAGTTATATTTAAAAAGTCCTTTTCATTCTACCGTGTTCTAAACGATCCTTGAATTTTCTTTAACTTTGTATACATATCTTTGATTATGAATATAGGTAGCTTTGATTAAAATGAATACATATATTGATTTAATTTCTTTGAAATTAGATAAGTATGTCCGCGCCGAGTGTCCATGCCTCACGGCGCGGTATACTGTTGCCCTGCTAGCGTGTTTCGGCTTTAGTATAATGTTCGGCATGAGGTGCAACATGAGTATGGCAAAGCTCAAGATGACTGAGAAACATAACGTAAGTACTGAATTCTAACAGTCTATTCCTAATGAGGAAAGTTTAAAAGTTCTTGAATCAAGATTCTTTCAAAGAAACTTGATTGACCGCTTTGCATTGAATTGAAAATTCTAAACGAGGTATGATGAATTATATTATATTTTATAGAGAAATTATTTCTGTATTGTATTTGTATTCATAGTTTGAAGGGTAATAATACACCAAATAATTTATTTCAGACTACATCCGGTGTCAAAGAAGATACACCTTTCGAATGGAACGTGGAAGTAGAATCTTCGATTGATTCGTCATATTTCATTGGATACCTTATCACTCAAGTGCCCGGAGGCTTTTTTGCATCTATGTATCCAGCAAATAAGATATTTGGCGCTGCAATTGCTATGTCAGCAATTTTCAATATGGCTATACCTGGAGCTATGTCTGTCGGACCCGCTGCTGTTGTATTAATAAAAGTTGCACAGGGATTTGTTGAGGCAGGTTATATTTCAACATATTTAAAAATAATAATTTTCAGTAATTCTACCTAGGTACTGTCGACTGCGTGGTTAATTCCACAACTGCCAGCACTGTCTCTCGGACTAATTTGAATTTATAACAGGAGAGTCAGTGAAATATACACATAAAAGATTGTTTTGGTATCGGCCTGTTCGAATTCGCTTTCTTTTGAATTTAGTCGAGTTTTGACCACGACGCTCTCAGTCTACAAAAATCGTGCAATAAATTGAGCGTTTCTTTTATTCCTTTTATTATTGGATTTTGTAAATTATTTTTATTTGGCTTAATATGTTTAAAGAGTGATGTCGAAGGGTAGAAATGAGGATGTAACATCATACGTTTAAAATTCGAACATTTGGCATTCACTACGTGACTGTGCATAATCATGCTTATTATTGATGCTTCAAATTTTGAAACCAAATTCCGTATCAAATGTACGACACGTCACGTTTGGATTCAACACTCCCCTTCCTTTTGTATTTCGTGCAAAGTAAATTTTGCATTTATTTCATAGCTACTAGTATAATATATACACAATTTTCTATTACTTATTTAGAATTCATAGTTGAAATTGTTATGTGATCGAGATGGTTTCATATTGCACCAATATACTGATATAAATCGATTCCTCATAGAAATTTCGATATCTGTCTTCAAGTGGAATCGTCATCGTTTTCCGTAGTACAAAGCCTCTTTAGGATTATCGAGCCCTCCGTCGCTATGGCGACGTATTTGCTCCTCCGTGTATTGCAGCTTAACTGATTCTTCAATGCCAGTGCTATCCTATTATTGAATATTGTATTGTACATAGTACTCTTTGAAATAGTATTATGTTGCGTTAACATATTAGGTTTAATTTATTTTAAGTAAATTATACTATTACACCCAGATAAGTATTTCAACATACAAAGAAAGCCATTAGCCATAAGTTAATTTTTTAACTAGTTGCCTTTTCGTACTTCATACTGTCATATTAATTGTAATAATACTATACAATATAAATGATAAAATGACTCGTATAAAAATCCATTCCGTGGTCTGTAAAACTGGTTAGTTTTTCTAGACCACGCCACGGATTTTAGGTTTAATTTGTTTCTAAAGATTATTACTCATATAATCTAAGAAGTATATCATCGATGCAGTTGATTTAATATTATTTCCATCACAGGGTGTTACATATCCATCGTGTCATGGTATTTGGAGAATGTGGGCACCTCCATTGGAGCGGTCTAGGTTAGCAACTCTGGCCTTCTGCGGTACTTACGCCGGAATTGTCATCGGCATGCCTCTTTCTGGGTTGCTTACTGATTATATTGCTTGGCAAGCTCCATTCTACTTTTATGGAGTATGTGGTGTAATTTGGTAAGTATCTCTTTGAATAGTATTTAATCACTCATGTTCACTAAAATGCTCACTAAAATGTCCAGACGTGTGGCGGCGTGGTGGGCTGGGTCATTGGGCTCCCTAAAATATGGTCGAGTGCAGTGATGGCTGGCTCATACTCGTTAACGAGTGCTGCTTGTAGGGACTGGTCTGCTCTTATCACTACGACTGATTTAATCTTATTGTGTTTTTATATTTGAGCCTAAATAAATTAGTGCTGGTTAGTAGTTTGTATTCACACGTTTCGACTTACAAGGATTGTTTAAAAGAGCAACACACAAGTTTCTTGCTTATTCTTCTTGTGATGAGACAGCTTTCCGAATAAGCGGTAGATTTAAAAAAATGTTGACTATTCAAAAGTGCTTAAATTAAGTTTATTTGAATAAATGATTTTCTATTCTATTCTATTCACAATCACTTACTTACGAAATATACTAAACAAAGATTACCCAGTCTAGATACTGGGTAATCTTTGTTTAGTATATTTCGTCATTTGTTGATGATATCACTTGTCTTTATTATCTTCAGTTCATTTGTCTCCATTTATATCATTAATAGATATTTATTAATACTTTTATAGACGGTGTAGTTTCAATATTTGATTATACTTCCCACTGTATTTATATATTATTAACTAACTACTAAACAGTAAAAAATATATATGTATGATGAAGATATTTTTAAGCTTTTATTTTGTGCATAAGTGGTCAAAATTATAATGTATAAATCTTTTGCTTTTTAAAACAGTAACTTCGTACCAAGCTCGACAATAACCTTACGTTACATCTATTTTTATAGTTGAATGTAAAATATTAATTTTCCACTAAAGGTATGTAATGTGGCTGTGGCTTGTATTCGAACGACCAAGCAAACATCCCCACATTTCTGGAAAGGAGCTGACATATATTGAACAGTCATTAGGTACTGCAACACAAGCTGCTATGCCTGGCTTTTGGGCAACACCATGGAAAGCTTTTGCTACTTCGCCACCCGTAAGTTTTACTTGCTTTACTATATAATAATTCTATATAGGGGCAACGCTGTTATTTCGGATATACTACCTCAATGTGCTGCGTTGGTTTATATTGATTGTTTTTTTTTTGTAAAAAAATAATTAAATTTTATATATTAAGGATTAAACATAGATAAACTGTATATATTTTTAGCTCTTGTTAATCCGAGTCGACTTCCATTAATCATAGTATAGAAGTATCAGTCTGTCATCAAGTATTATGTAATTGGAATTATCTACACGTCGGAGTAACTATTTTATAGTATGACTAATAACAACCTATGTTACTTATATTTTGTTTTATTTTAGGTATACGCGATTATTGTTGCTAACTTCTGTAGAACATGGAACTTTTGTCTGCTAGTTATTTTTCAATCTGCATATTTTAACACGAGGTTTAATATGCAAATTACTGAGGTAAGTTGTTTTATGTTCTTTAAACACTTCTATTTGTTATATTTTTAATTGACACTTTATTGCATTATATTTAGTCAGTTATCCACATTAGTACCATTTTAGGTTGCTCCACTTAACTCAGGGCAATACTACATATTCCTTGACTACTAACTGATTGTAAATATTTTTGCAGTCTGGATTCGTAGGAGCGATACCTCACTTGATCATGACGTCCCTAGTACCCATTGGTGGCATGCTTGCTGATTACCTTCGCAAGAGCAATATTATGACTACTACAAACGTGAGAAAGCTATTCAATTGTGGAGGATTCGGCCTTGAGGCTTTCTTCTTCGTTCTTGTGGCCTACGCAAACAATAAGGTAAATTTATAATAAAATTATATTCACATAAATGTTTTGCTTCTAAGTATGTCTGTATATGTCCAAAACCAGTTGATACCCTTTAGACGGCATTTATCTATACTCGTATATATAATTTTGACAAATTATTTGCCGAATTTACTTTATATTTTTACAAATAACTTGGCAGTCAATATATGGGTTCATACTCGTGGGCTAAGTATTTATCCTATGTTCTATAAGAAAAGGTAGTCATAATGCTGATGATATTTTTATCTCTACGCTTACCATGAATAATGATAATTATTCTATTAAGAATATTTACAATAATAGTATTTCTTAAAAGTTATTTAAATATGTATTTCTTTTTTTAGTATGTAGCAACTATAGAATTGACGTTGGGAGTGGCGTGCAGTGGTTTCGCTATATCTGGGTACAACGTAAACCACCTGGACATTGCACCACGATACGCTTCTATCCTGATGGGTCTATCTAATGGCATCGGCACTATCGCTGGGTTCCTTGTACCGATTGTCATAGATTACATGACACAAGAAAGGGTAAGAATAGTTATATATTCAATACGATTACCATATCTCAACATTGAACTCAAATTCAGACAGCCTCGGTTTAGCACATCCCTTTACTTCCGATGTTCGCGGATTCGATTTCTCTCGCATTACAAACATCTGTATTCATAAGTAGTAATTAGTCTAAGTATTTTTCTGTGTAGCTACAAAAAAAAATCTGTTTTAGTATTTATATCAGTTGTCTAGTATAACACCAACTTTGCTTAGTTTGGGACTAGTAGATGCTGTGTGAAATGTCTTGGGTTATCATTATTATATATTTTAATGTAGGTACTTGCTCATAAATGTGTTTGGTTTCAAACAAAAAAAAAAACTACAATTTAGACACATTCATTAAACACATAAGAGTCGGATTTTTTTTAATTGCTCCATGAAATAGATAAAATAATGGATATAGTGTTTGTGGTTTAATAAGAAAAAAGAAAATTTATTACAAGACTTAGAAGCAGAAATTGAAATTTTGAAGAGACGCTCCCCTCGAAACTAGGGTATCAGTTTCGTAGACGACTCCCGCGAAACAAAAAGGACATTCGGCCGTGGCTAATTTTAAAAAGGAAATCGAGCTCGGCATGACGCGCGCACTGAATATCAAATGAATAGCTTTGTGGGTGCGCGCTGATGCGTTACGTAGACTATATTTCGCGCTGAGCACTTTATTATCACCCATACCCGAGTGCTCGCACGAATGAGTTTGCATTCTATACAAATCAAGTTAGTGTAAAAATTCTGAAAGATTTATATTTTGCCATACGGATCTTGAATATCGAATACCAATATTTTAATATTAATGCTCCGTATCGAAACCAGAAATTATACTTATATCTACCAAATCCTGCACCCTCCTGTTGATAATTTAACTGTGAACAGCAATAAAAACAAACTTAGACAACTTGCATCTATAATTGAATTTTTAACATTGAACCTGTTTCTTATAAATTCACAATAAGACTTCTAATTAATCTTGTTAAAAGTATATATATATATCTTCTTGTGATTTAATCCTTTATAGTGAAATAGAATTATTGAAATTGAATGTCGAATTGTGGAAGGTAACGCGTGATATAAGTACACATACAGAAGTACAGTCAAACTTAATATTTTTCATTTTGATATAGACTGTAGATACGATATACGCAGTTACTTATTATTAATTAATATGTAATTCTTGCCTGTTTAGTACAAGTTGGAGAAAGCAATAACCGAATGGCGAGACGTCTTCCTCATGGGTGCGACTGTACATTTTATTGGCATAACTATCTATGGTATTTTTGCTTCTGGTGAGCTGCAGCCGTGGGCAGAACCAACTCCACCTTATGAACCTCCTATCAAATCTATGGATCATGAGACTACCTTTGTAAGTATTATCGTCGTGACAATAGTTTTTTATCTTTGTATGGATGATGATGGAATGGTGCACTCTTTTGCACAAACGGTATAAATACGCTGATGGGGCATCAGGGAATGATGATTAGCACGAGGATGAAGTCAGTCTGCTCATCGTGATGAATTCGCAATTCATCAACCACGATGATTTCTAGGTAGGACCGTGTGGGGGTCGACCTAAAAATAATACATCTTTAACAATGGAGGACAATTGATATTTTAATTATCTATTTTAACCATAGTTACAGTATCCTGTGTATTCAAAATAGTGATGTTACAACTAACTGTGACTACATCAGCATATGAAGAGAATTTCTTAATAGTGGTTCATATTCTCTTTTATAGGAAATACGTTGATGACTATTGCACTGATTGACCCTATAAATAACTTATTAATATCTACGTGTACTGAAAACAGTATAATATATGTAATAAATTGTTTATACATCAGTACCAATTACTGCGCGGCGCGGTATATCGTATGTATCATAAAAAGTAATAAAATCTGTGTGTATAAGTACTCACAACGGGACGTAATTTTATTTATTGATCCCCATTTCATCAACACTTTATCAACAACATTATTATTTTATCTCTATCAACCAAATGTAAGGATCACACCCTACATGACTTTCATTTTATAAAATACACATACACTGCAGTTTATAAAAGTGATAAATTCTTGTGTAGACGGAACCTCTGAAAGGAAGCGAGCCTCCCGCATACGGGGCCATCTCCGCGCCTCCTCGTCCTCCAGCGCCTCAGCAACATGTCCCAAACAATCCATTCGTTTCTGGAGCGTTTTATCAGACAGAGCCCGTTCAGCCACCCGCGGATCCTTATCAGGATCTTACCGACGACGGTACTTACTAGACTTATCGTAAACCCTATGTAATCAGTCATGCGACAGCAGTTCTCTCACTTTTGTACTAGATAGGTAGAAAATTATTACTGTTCAATAAATACAATGATTTATTAGCTTGTAAAAATATCAATCAAATAATTTAGTGTAATATTAGCTTAATATCATATTTGTGTACCTACCTGTTTTCAGAATGTTGTAAGTTTCAATATATTTTGTAGGTAACATCTGAAATGTTAATTCATCGTTGTATTATGATGAGCCTAAGGATTGAAAAGTCATATATGTACGTGTACGTAGGTTATATTGGATATAATTTCTTGGCTAAATACTAACTAAAATTTCTGAATAATTTTATTTGTTTTGATAATAAGTTCATTAATTTGATTGCAACATAATAATAACATTTATTTTTAATTTCAATATGAGCGTTTCAGTCCTAGTTCATTGTAAAACCACGATCTTGAAAGTATTAATTTTGCATAGAGACTGCCAAATGTTATTAGATTTATATGTTTTTGTGTTTGTTATTAAATATTATTAATTTTTAACATTATACTTGTACATGTGTATATAAATTACATTGGCATATCATCTCTATTGTTAATGCTTTACAGTTCGTTATTGTCTTTTAAAGAGAAGCTAAGGCCCAATTTACCTCTGGCTCCATGCGGTGGGTACTTCGGTTATAATTTCTATAAGTATTGTTTACTTCCACAGTTCAATAAAATTGATGACTTGATTTCTTCAAATCGTTCTTAAGTGTTTATAAAATATTTAAGATGTAACTGTTTGAAATTCAGTACTTACTGTACTTAATAACTTCAATGAATGTACCTACGTATATTGCAATAGGAGTAGAAAATTAATAAATACGTTAATTACAAGGGAAGAAATGTAATCATTAAAGTATTAAAAATATTATAATCTCATACTTAGAGATCTGCTAGAAATTTTATTGTCCTGCATGTACTGGATAATATAATTTCTAGTTATTTAATATACATATGTCTATTTCGAAAATATTTTCTTTTGTCATACCTTAATAGATTTAGTAGATATTGCTATATTATTTTAATTGTATTCTATGTTAAATTATTAAAAAAATTTAAATATACAATATTTATTTGCTGCATTAATATAATTATAAATTTATATCGATGAAACACACATTTCCCTTTGCTGACAAGAATATAGTTGTGTTAGGTTATTACGTATTACGTGAGGCATAGAAATAATCATATAAACTTATTCTTGTAATTAAGGATATAACCTAAATGTAAAGTCATATATATGTAGTATAAATGTACTAAAATATTTTGATATATATTTTTTGGCAAATTATTTATTAAAATTCTTATGTGTTTCTTCTTATCTATTATCGTATCGATTACAGGCTCTGAATACTTTTTACTAAAAACTTAACTCGGGAAAGTAAGAACAACTTCAAAGAGTTTTATAATATAGAAATTCTTAATAAATGCTTTTCTTTCTTAATATTTCTGATAGAATCTATTATGCTATTATTTTATGTTTGTAATAATTTATATTATATATTAATCTGTTAATCTAATCTAACCAAATCAAATTAAATATAGCATTTTAAGAAATATTTCTGTAGTTGTATAATAAATATATTATCAAATATGAAATAATTGATTTGTCCTTTTGTCTGTTAAATTATTCGTAACATAAATATTCGCATCTATTCTATTATTTATATCTATTAAATATTCTCAACAAAACAAATTATTACTTTATATTTTTAATAATCAATATATAAAATAAAATGAAGTTAGTGGTTTATTTTTGGAATAAATTGGTAAAGGTTGTATTATTGTATTATTGTTGTATTATTTTAATATTATTGCTATAATTTATGTGCAGTCTATTATACTTAATATAAACATAGCTCGCCACATAGTACTTGTGATATTACAGTAATTGTGTCGCTGTAGATATTTAGTAATATGTTTCGTCTACATAACCATTTAGATGTAATGATTACTATTTAAATATTTATGTAAGTAGTTATTTAAGAATATTGTATGGTTCTAAAATTAAATACCACTGTTACGCTAATCTTTGTTCTTGTTTATTCTATATCATAAAATATATGCACTATAAATATTTGCACAATAAATAACTGTACAGCACTGATATTTAGGTAGCAGCACGCTGTAAATAAAACAAAAAATGTAAAAAAGCATACCACTTAATTTCTACCTTTCAATTGGCAAAAAATTGCAATGGTTGTTTTGTAGGATCACCAAGTATTTATATTTCAGGTTTCCAAAGGCCTACGTTCATGGTTTATTTTCATATTACCGGATGCTTCATGGCTTCCATTGTAGTCTAAATTACACACTACACTGCAACTCAAAGAAACAATTGAATTAACACAATTTATAAATAAACATAATATTAAAATAATTAGCTTATAATAATGTATGTATATTGGGATGCCCGATGTGACAATAATTAGAATTTAAAGAAATAGGTAGCATTCCTGTCTTGTCTTAGTCTCGCTAATTACTACACAATATACCTGTGGACTATATCTATTTGCACAACAAATTACTGTACAGCACTTACACGTAGTTTTGTAAATAAAATAAATGTCTAATATAATGACTGCTCTGGGTCACACGACAATAATATCATTGCACATAGCACTTTGTCACCAATTTTCATGTTATTTTTTTATTTATTAATTTATTGACAGTAGGTATGGAATACTGACAATAACATTAAAATAGTTTTTTTAATAATATTTATTAGATTGTCCTAGTTTAATAAGGATAAAGGCTGAAATACAATAATTGTATGAACCTAGACAATAACTATTGACTGGAAGGAATAAAGGAATAAGACCAATGATATCACTTGTTAAGAATGCAATATAGATATTAGGTTGTTTTATATTTATAATACTGTTTAATATTCTTGGATGATTGTATTATTTCACGAGAGCTATTTTGTTAAAAATACATATATTTGGTTTTAAACTTTTACAAAATTACTTTGCAAAATTATATTAAAAAGAAGAATAACATCAAAAACTTATAAAGTGATGAAGTACCCAGATGCGGTATTAAATAAGTAACAAACTTATGTCTAAGTCAATATGTTATCCAGCACCTGGGCAAAGATCTCTTTATTCGAATTAATTACATACAAGGTTCTTTTAAACATATTATAAGTTTATATTAAATAACATATTATTTCAATACAATTATCAACAGATAGTCCATATTATTAATATTATAAAGGAGAAATTGTGTTTGTATGTCTTGTTAACTTTTCCGGACAAACGCCTGAACGGATCTTAAGTTTGATATGACTATAGACTGTATTATGACGGGTAAAAAAGTATAAGAATAGATTATTATGGTAAAATATTACATTATACACAAAAGTCTAACCTTTGCCCAGTGATGTAGACTTTACTTTGCATCAGGAACACAATTTAAAAATGAATATAATAATTGCAATTAGCTTGTAAGTTTATTGGGATATCCGATAAGATAATAATTAGAATTTAGTGATAGTCTTAATCTTGTTTCTTCATACACTTTATCTCTTTGCACAATAAATTACTGTACAGCACTTACAAGTAGTTCTTAGTACGTCTGTAAATAAAACAACTGTCTTATTATTTACTGCTCTGGGTTACACGATTATAATATCAAGGCACATTGCACTTTTTTATCTACTTAAACTTGTTTTTATTCATACATTTATTAACACTTGGAATAGAATACGGACAATAATATTAATATCTTTAAATAGTTTTTTAATAACTTAATTGCGAGTGATCATGTGTAATATGAAGAATGGCTCAGATAAAATAAGGTATAAGAATTGACAATAACGATCGACTGGAAGAATTGAGACCAATAAATTCACTTGTTAAGAATGCACTGACGCTGTATGATATAATGTATTATATATTATTTAACGAGCGCTATTTTATTATATTTAACTAAAATTTGATAATTGTTTTAAAAATAATGAGATCATCCAAAACTGATAAAACCACGTACAACCCAGATGTAGCATTAAATAAGTAAAATAGATACAGGAAATCTATAGCTTAGTTACTTCACTTTCAGGATATGTAGTCAGATATCTCATTATTTTATTTTATTATATATCTATGAGGTTTTAAAGAAAATACTGCTAATCAGTTATTCGTAAAGATAATATTTTATTACAATTCAATTATAAACAACTACAATTACAAATTATTCTTTACATGGGATGAAAATGCTGAACCTTAGTTATATGTTTATTGAAAAAAAATTATATCTATAAAGCAATTTTTCTTCATTAAGATCGTTAAGTTCATTCGCCTAGTGACTTCGACCTTGTTTTTCATCGGAAAATATATTTATAAATGAAAGTTACATTTATAATAATTAGATATAGTATAATGTACATTGGGACAGATAATGACAATAATTAGAATTTAAGAAAATATGTAGATATAAAATTGGTTAATTAAAATAATTACAAGTAATCCCTATTATCTATAACAATTGTTGGACATAAGTGAAAATTATCATCAATATTTAGTTTATATATATATGTATATCTATCTATCGTAATGCCTTTCTGTTTTATTAATCACGTAATGCTGATTTCTGTCTTAAACTCTATTAGCAAACACATTAACTTATATTTAAATATAAATTATTATTCTTGTATAATATTTGCGTTATTATGGCTTTATACAGGTACCCTGATAATTAGGTCTAATTATTAATAGGTACTGTTATACAGACACCGTTGTTAATTCATCAGTTATTAATTTCAACTATTTTCTTGATTGAATTTTATATTGAATTGAAATCCCCAGTAAATTACTTAAACAAATTTAAAATATTTCTAAAAATATTATTTACAAATATTAATAATAAAAGGACGCATAACGTAATGCATAAATCTATTATAGAAAATAAGAGAAGGTACTTTTGGTTCATTAAAGCAGAAGCAAAATAAGTAAAAACCTAGCAATGTAAAGCAGTGATTAATTGGTGTGATCCACTGTGCAGTCCTTCGATGTTATTTTCAAAAATAAGAGAGAGATTGTGTAATAAAACAATGCTATAATGTTACACGAAATAACCAATATCAAAAATCTATAGAAAACAGCATATTCCAAAAATAGTAATAGTAGTCTGGCCTGTACCTATCAAATTTTAAACATTAATGCATACCGAAATTATATCTTGCTTCTGTATATTCAAATTCAGAATATTTTTTTAATTCGATAATGCTGTTGATAAGTTCACAGGTGCCTATATGTACTACGTTCTTATAACTATCATTATAAGAAGGAAAAGTTTAGCATTTTTAAAAACTTTAGGGACGTCCTATCTTAACCATTTTTTTTTAAAACTGTAGATTAGTAGTAATGATTATAGAATAAAACTTTAAAATCGTTGTTTTAAAGAATCTCTACACCGTCAATTCAGTGATGTAAAATACTTTGAAAATTATTAATTGAATGTGTAGTAATTTGTGTATTTATCTATAAATAAACAATTTCTTTTAGAAATAATACAATATTTTGTATCTTTCCTAGAGTGAAAGAGTATATTTTTAATTAGGTAATTAATAAAATTATTTATACTTACAAACATAAATGGCAGATATATATAATATCAGAAAAAAGTGGACACACCAAGTTTTCGTTTTTATATGAAATGATACTTTCTAGATAAGAAAATATAAATTTAATTCAATTGAATAATAATATTTCATATTAATTTATCATTCACCACAATTATAGTTACTTTTTATGAAATAGATACCTACTTAAACTTTACTTTTAAACTTAGCTGTTTAGACTAGGCTTATATATTTAACAAAAAGGCCGGGAACAGTGCAGCATATTTGTATTAAACGTTAGATATTATTTAATTATTATTAGATATCACGTATATATCTTTTTAATATTATAATGCAACTTTCTTTACAAAAAAGAAATGTTTAATGATAATTTTCACATTGTCCAATAGAATAGGCGAAAGGATTATGATTTAACCATAAACATAATCTAGCTATTATTTTTAATAATTAAGTGCTTATACATGTGTAGTTATTAGAAAAAAAATATAAAACAAACATGTTTAAGATTAAGCATGTTTAATAAAAAAGTATGTGCATTTATTGTAGACATTATAATAATTAAGTAAACTTATTTGTTATTTGTATGGTTATATCGGGAAAATAGTAAGATATTTTATATTTTTGCAATACCAAAATCATTATATTTCGCTTTTAAACATTCGTTGCTAATGAATATCTATGTTTGTTCCACGCTGTTCCCTGTAATAATGAAAATATTGGTATGTTTTTCTCAGATGATTAAATTTCAATAGTATGGAGCAACCATTTAAATATAATTTAGGTAGAAAAAATACTAAAGTAATATTAATTATATATGAATAATGTAAAATAATAAGACAATAATTTATTACACGGAGTGATCTCACTCTGTTAGGCTGTGTCGACAATAACGCTTTTACAAGCGATCGATAGTATGTAAATCTTAGATATAACTAATATAATAATAACGCAAACTTAAGAACAAACTGAATTAACTCGAAAACATCAGGAATTTCGATTTAAAGATATAAGCTGTTTAGTTGAGTTTTAAACTTTCAGAAAAAAAGAATTGCAGTTGTGAAATTACCTTTATTGTTTTAGCCGGTGAATATGAATAATATATGAATGAATGTCTGAATAGAACCATTTCAGCAACAGAAATCACATAACAAAACGATGTCTATAGTGCTTTCATGTTGCGGTTGCTGCCAATTTCGCAAATATTCTTTAGAGCTTATACAGTTTATTATTAAGTTTGCGATATGTGTGTACATACCTAAATTTCTTCATACAACAGCAATGTATTTGGCAATGCTGTAAGAGGCTGAAACGAAAAAGAGTACATATAGTAAATATACATATATCCTTCGGAAAGGCAATACACGTGAGGTATCGCGGGCGTCATATAATGACGTGATATTCGTGGTACTATTCGAGTATATGGATTATAACGTGCAAATATTTCAAAAATTTTCAATAAGGAAATTTTTCAAGTTCTTTTATTATTATTAAGGTAGAGTCTCAATAAAGATCGTACTCATACGGCGATACTACGTTTCGTTTTTTGAGCATAAGTTGAAATATACATGCAAGTTATGATATCATTCTACGTTAAATATTTCAGCCTCTTTCGTTAGTCGAAGAAATAAAAAATATCGGATTAAATCGGATTTTTGGGGTACTTAGGCTTCCGCGTTTCGCTAAATAAGTAGAATACATATACTTCCCTACTGTCTTTTTTCATTACAACATGATTAATCAGTTTATTTTATATTTTTTATTCTTATTCATCTAAACTTCATTTGTAGCTGATTAGGTTGTACATAAGTGATTCTGCATATATTTTAGTTAAATCATAAAATTATAATTTTGAACTCTAAACTTGCACTTACTAGTGTCTAAGAAATTCATGTAAAATTGAAATGTAATGTATGTAGTCTTTAGTAAATATTGTATTATCTGTAACTACAACTATAACAGCTAATTGTAGGTAAGTATTACTTGCACGGAAGCACTGATTTGTCAATTATTGATTAGACTCATGTTTAAGGATTTACTTTCAAGTCCTGAAGTTACATCGCTGTACATAATTTGTGTCGCTTTGTATTCCCTTCATATTAATATTAGATTTTGTGCACGTCTTATATTTTATTTTGTTTTTATTCTAAATATATTAATGACTAATACTTGTATTAATGATTTATTAATTTAAATACTAATCACTATATATTTTTTTAATTATATCCAATAACTTTAAACATTTAGTAACTACTATGTAATTTAATTTAAGTTAAGATTATAAAATTACATGTATATTTTCCAGTAGTTAGTAGGTTTCAGATCTACTGCATGTATTTAGTCAGGAAGTTTTTATGTCTTATGGCAATAATTTATTTAAGATTACTTTTGTAGTAGCAAATATTGTATATTATTTTATAGTCTAAAATTCTTCCACAGAATTTATAATTTTAGCACAAATAGTTTTTATTGTAATATTTGGTTTCAATCAGGCCTATAATATTTATTAGATTGTAAATATGTAGGTAAATAATATACGCACATATATATTTATAAAAAATGAGTACATATTATTGATATTATATATTTAATATCTTAAAATGTAAATACGTGTTTCGAAGCTTATCCCTACTGACGCTAAACTAGGTTATAAATGTATATTAAGAATTAAGTGCGTAGGCATGTACCTAATAGAAACATAGTGGCAGTACTTATTGTTGTATACTGTCTATACGATAATAAGTATTGCCACTATTTTCTAGAGTAAATTACGTAATAGAGATTCTTTTGAAATATGATTTATATATGATATTTTCGCAAAATTTTATTACAAACTCACTCACGTCTTCATAATTTATTTTACAAAGATTTTTGCCAATTGTAGACCTCAGTATTACATTTCAACAATGAAATCATGTACATAATTTTTATCTTGTATTTATGTCTAGGTAAACTAAGTATAATAAAAATAGGTTTATAGAAAAGTATACACTATATTTGGGTATAAGGAATATGCCCCCAATGTGTGATTATTCTATCATTCATTATCTTTGAAACTTGTTAATGCACAGGAACCTAAGTCAGTAAAAACCTGCATTTTCTGAGATGTTACTGTTAAAATAATTACAGATATTAGAAATATTCAATGAAAAATTATATTAGAAGAAATTAGTTCATTTCTATAAATGTCTGTTGCAGATTATATTGTATTAAATCATCTCCGTATTCATCCTTTACGGGGCATTGAATAAATGAGGTTCCGGACTTAATTCTTCCTCTGAGTAACTTAACATACGATATTGGTTGGGATATGGGGGTATACTTCCGGATGTTTATTTCTATCTCCTATTACAAAGTAACTAGTTGGAAAATCAGGCAATTATAAAATTATAACATAGTTATTTATTTGCTTGATGCAAGCGATTTTGTAAGTAAAAATTCGTAAACATATACGAATAGCTTAGTGTTTAGTGCTGTAAGCAGGATAGGTAATATGTAGTAAGAGAGGGAAATGTGTTGTTATCATATTTTTTTATTTCTTATTGTATTAAATGTATGTTCATTTTAGCATTAATATAAAAACAACGATATTATATAATATATTCATATATATTGTTGTTGTAAATATGTAGCTGTAAACATTATTATAATTCTCTGATCAATTATATCGTATGTATCAAATTATTCACTTCAGTGTATATTTGCTTATTGAGAACGATTCTTTTATTATTTTTATATAATTTTGCACAAAATTAAAAATTTGTTACTGTTGTGTTTTTAACAAATTATTAAAATTTTGATATCTAGTCTACGATGTAGTCATAATATTAATTATTGTATTTGTTATTAATACTTTCTTCAAAATATTTTATCTTTATCTAATATTTTTCTTTGCTAATAATATCTTAGTAATGAAAAAAAAGTTGTTCTGTGCTCAATTTAATAGAATTAATTATAGTCTTATTTCCAATTAACATAATAAACTTGTGTTGAGAATAATATTGTTCTAATTTGATTTTAAATATTTAATCAATATCGTGTATACCTATGTATGAAATAAATTGTTTCTTAATGTTAGTGTTTAAAATTCTGGATGTCAAGTTATTAAAAAAAAGTTATAAAATTGTATTCAAAATGATGACATTATCTTCCCTAATATATGTTTGAAAATTTATATATCGTTTCATTTTTTAATACTATAATATAAATATACAACACTTTACCATTATTGAGTTGAACTCTTATGGGTCCAACTATTCTCACAACCTTGTGAATAAAGGTAAATCGTAGGTTCAAATATTACATACTTATGTAATACAATTAAAACACATGTAAACTTTTACTTTATTTTACTTTACAGTACTTACTTACAGTACTTATATTTTACAGTAATATCACAAAATATTTCGGCTAGGTGTAATAAATTATAAAATATTGGATTATCGTCGCCAACTAAGTACGGGTAAATTAAAACTCTAATAATATGTATATATAAATAGTTTTACTATATTTCTGAATTGTAGAATGCAAGAGACCAACATTTTTGTCATGCATTCGTCACGTCTCCTTTCGGTTTTTAGACAATTTAGTGCCGATTGATGACGGTTAAAAAATTTTACATAAAAATTACTGATATATATATATATAAAATAATAATGGGTACATCATATAAACAAATCAGTAATGTAATTAAAATCTATATATACAACTAATCACGTGATAAATATTATTGAATTATCGATAGTAGATGAAACGAGGGATTTGTTAATATTAGGTACAATAAATTAGCAAGCTAACAATTATCTTATTAGGATACATGACCATAACCACCAAACATCTTTTATAGCTACTTATGTAGACTACATTGCACACACATATCGCAAACTGAATAATAAAATCTGCATTATCTAAAAAAAGTCTATTACCATTTTAAATTTTTAACATAAAAATCAATATTCAGTGTTAATGCAGGTCATTATTAAGCCCGCGATGTATATTAAAATATAACAAGTATTCTAATACTAACTAAAATGTAATTATCTAACTCTAAAATTATTCTGGCTTGAGTCTAGAATGTGATTTTTATCAATATAATAACCTATCTTAATTTATTTAGGCAATGGCATCTATATTTTAAAAGATTATAGTTATATTTGAGACCGAGTTTGAGAGGAGTTTTGAATAAGAAATAGTACTAGGTTCTCTCTATAGGTACTCTTCGCATTATCATTAATGTATATAAAAGTAGCTACAGAGTACAAAAATAGACTGGCAATATAATTGCTATGCTAACGGTATTATTGTCACCAGACGATTTAGTACCGGAGGATTATAGCTAAAAATTGTAAATTGATGGAACCAGAAGAAGATAAGAATCGGAAGAAGAAGGAACCGAAGAACTTAATTTTTACATAAATACTATTAAATATCAAACGATAAAAAAACAGAACAATTTAAGTTTAGCAATAATTTAATCTATTTTATGAATATGTACTAGCTGTATGGTCCAGTGATTGATCGTAGACGTCTACTTTTGCCTGGAAATCCTCTGGCATATGGCGGCCTAGCATTTGTTGTTACGTAGTATACGCCCCGCGCTCTGAAAATAATTTTAGTTAAATGTTAATGGAAGTGTCAATTTGAAAATACTAACCTCGAAATATTGTTATAAGAGCGTTAATAATTGGTCACATAGTATAAAATATAGCCATCGCTTTTTGTATGTTCAGGTCTTTTAATCTAAATTAAATTTAAAGCTGTTAGAAATAAAATTATTTCAGATAATGTATAATGTAGAATATATGTACAACACGAGTATATTAAATTATAAAAAAGCCAAGAAATTCAAAGATTTTTAATGTATTTGTGTGATGGTGGGTCCGGTCGCTAATAATCATAGTTCTGGACAATTCACACAGCGTCATCTAATCCCAAGCTAAACAGAGCTTGTGTAATGGATACTAGACAACTGATATAAATATATAGATACTTTTTTTAAACACATACATAATATACAAAGAAAACACACAAACAGACCGATACCAACAGTCATACCCAGGGATACAAATATTTGTACCGTGCAAGGAATCGAACCCGCGACCATTAGAGGTAAGGCGGTATGCTAAACCGCGAAACCACCAAGGCAATTAACTAATAACTCTTAACGTAAATACTTGCAAACATTTTTTACCTTAATTAGTTATTACATATCTCTCAAATTACCCAAAAACTATTAACTAAATATAGTAGTAGTAAGTATACATTTAAAAAGAATATTTTGACTTACATATTATGATATTAATGATACTTATTCAGTTTCTCATTTTTACACTTCTGCACTACTAGTGGGAATAGGTACAACTATATATGTTAGGTACTGTTATTTTTATAATTAGGCTAATAATGATGCATACCTGTGTGTAACATGTTCACCCATTAGAACATATTCTGAATCTTTAGGCTCACACCAACCTATTAAATAAGAGAATAGACTGGAGCAAGGTCCCGCCCAGAAACCTTCTTTACTGTTTATCGACTCTATGAAATATGGCGTTACTTTTGTGTGATCACATGATAATGTCTCTGAAAGTGGTAATAAAAAATAATTAGTTATTATTTTTAATACATAAAGTCAGAAATTCAATATTATGAGAATTCCAGGACTTCTCAGGTTATCCTCAGTTCAGTAACAGTATGTTGTTTCCATTCTGATTATTTGACTAAAAGTATGAAATTTATACATATATTTATGATTAGCAATTATCCTAATGTTGAAGTGAATACATTCCAAAATAGTCTAATAATACTGTGGCAGACTTTGCCCTTTCACTAACGCCATCTAGTTTTTAATGGCAAGTATTAAAAGTGCAGAATGACTGAGTATTTCGCAAGGTTACTTACTTATTCAGTGGAGATGGAATTCTTGCGAACTGTATATTAGTGTAGATGAAAAACGGAAGAGGGCGTAAAGTACAATGTAAACTAATAACATAACCTAATAAAAATTAAGTTGCTTTCGTACTGTTGTTTCTAATAATATTAGTACTTTGTGTTGAAAAATGTTTTATTTATTAACTAACCAAACATGTGTTTCTTAATTTGTGTCCGAATAATTAAAGTGAGTCCGTTAGATACAGTTACTTAAATTTATTAGCTATCCTCTCCCCATAAATAGAATATCATAAACAGTTTCATGTATGACAATACTCCATATTTTATTATAATATAAGGTTCAAAGAAGTTTAAACTCTATGCTGCAAAAACCTGTCTTAATGGATACTTACGAAATATCGTGTCATGAGCACACCCTGGTTGACTAGAACCACCATTAACATAAAAATCAGCATGTCCATTTGGACCCCATTGACCAAGTATTCCTGCACCTGTATGCAGGATGTCGACAAATAAAGCATCGGTGTGATCCAAGTCTCGGGATCTATTGTTGCCCATGTAGAAAAAAATTGTTGGGTCGAGACCTGAAATGTAACAATTTGTTGTTAGTCTACTGTTATAATGTATTCGATTGAACCAGATATACATATTTTTGCACTAATGAAATATTAAAAGTCAGTTTTACTGACCAATAATTTTCTTGTACCCATTTTATATAAAAAATATATTACGACGATAGCAATGTGATATACATCTTTGAACATAAATACCACCGTAAACGAAGTTTAAGTAACAGGGATATGGTTTGTGTATAATGAAAGAGTTAATGACAACCGACTGCGAAATAAACCTGAAAAACTAGTCGAACGCAACCTCGAATAAATACTTACTTTAATTTATTACGAAATTTATCAGATTCCGAAATAGGGACTCATCAGTAATTTTTCCGCCATAATAGAATACATTTAAAATCAATTACATAAATTAGTTCAGTATATTACAATATGTACAAGGAATTTCAATCTGTTAATTTAAAATGACGAATTCAAAATCGATAGTTCATTAATAAGAATACAACTAGTTCTGTAGTAAATCACTACAGTAATTTCATATTTATATTTTCTAATGTAGAAAAGTACTTATAATGTACGGCTATGTATGGGTGTACTTGTATTATACATATAAACCTTCCTCTATTATCTAAAGAAAGGCTTCAAAATCCGTTGCGTAGTTTTAAAGATTTAACCACACATAGGTATTGACAGCGACAGCGACTTTATTTTATACTATGTAATGATAACCAACCAAATACACAGACCAATAATACATACAAATTATTAGTAATTATAGGCGGTTTCGGTGGTGCAGAGATTTAGTAGACCCCTTTTTCTAGTACTGGCGAGTTTTATTCTTTGCAAGATACAAATATTTGTACGGGTGTTTTCTATGTATTGTATGTAATGTAATGAATAAAAATGCATTTATGTATTTTTATCAGTTATCTAATCTCAAAATCTAATAATAGCATTGTAATGTAAGTCTGCCTGTGTTCGAAGTAAATATTTATTAATGCAATCAATGTATAATAATTTAGCACGTACCGGTAATCCTCCCAAGTTTTCCATCACTAATGTAATTAGCTACGAGGCCCAATATATGCGCTCCGACGCTATACCCGATGGTGTGGATCTTCTCCGGGCGTACAGGTTTTACCGGGTGATACTGAAGATACTCTACCATTTGTGCAATGCAGAGGCCCGCAAACCGCGGTGCCCAATCAATCTGATATAATTAAAAGAAACATCATAGTATTATTATAATAATTTTGTTTTGTATTGAGACGTTATTACCCAATGACGATGTCGGTGATCCAGCGGTATAGGACACCGCTTTTCTTCCGATTGTTGAGGGTTCGATTCTATGCACGGTACAAACGTTTGTATTCGTAAGTATGATTGTTTATATCGGTCTGGGTATTTTCTACGTATATTATGTATGTATTTACAAAAAAAATTAAGCATATATATCATTTGTCTAGTACCCACAACTTAAGCTTTGTTTACCGTGGGTCGAGATAGCTCTTAAATGTCTTTAGTGTTAAATGTTAAAGGGTTATTCATTTATTACAGTAATTGACCATATCAGTAAATTAAAATATATGTATTCGTATTTGCATCAATACGTTACGTACGTTGTTTCTAATCTATGAATGCAAATATAAGAGAATTTTTCCTAATAATTGTATATAGCTATTATTGAATTTGAAACTTCAAAGTTCTGTTAAAAGTGATGTAAATTGATAATTATGCTCGTGGAGAATCTAGTATATATATGTATCTCTATAGATGGAGAGATATATAGATTATATACATATATATAAATCTCCAATATCTTAATATTTTTGTAAAGTAAATCGAATATATTTAAGTTGACATGTACAAAAATTATAATGATTATAAGTTGATGACAACTTAATCTGTATATAGTTTCACCATTTTATAGATAATAATGATATAGTTTTTAGATACACTTGGATAAGTTTTCGCTTATTGTCTCCTATACTTATGAGAGTGAGTTCAGAATAAATCATTGGACCATAAGAATCAACTTTCTTTGATCTCTCATGTTTGTAAAAAAAAAGAATTTGTATTATCACTCGGGTTAAAAACACAAATCAAATGATGATGATGATGAAATCATGGACTTATTCATGAAAGTGAAATCTAATTTATCAAATTATAAATATTAGGTTTGAAAAGTTTTGGGTATTTGATGCACTAGAACAGAGGTTGAAATCCAGATATTTGACATAGATAACAATTTGTAAATAAATTATCAAATTGTGAAATACCTGACCCAAACACGGCTCTTTTACAAGAGACCCATAATCAACTATAATAATATTATAGTTCCCTTTGGAGAAGTAGGCATTTCTCATATCTGTACTCGGAGACAGGTTCCTGCCACCTCCAAATCCGTGAACAACCACTTTTGTAGGATGCCTTGGGTTAAATTTTGAATATGTAAGAGAGTCATTATCCAATGTATTTAATAACTCTCCTTTCTCTTGTGTTTTCCTGTAAATAAAACATGATGAATATTGTACACATTTATACTTTTAAAATGTAGGAGATAGACATTCGTTATGATCTTCAATGATTCTTTGCCAATATCATTACTCGTAGGAATTTTTAAATAGCTTTAGTAGATTAATGTACTCATTACATTAATTCACTAAAGCTATTTGCTTTAAAAATTAAAATTTTGTAATACTTGCTTGTTCATTACCGCAAATACTTTGAAAACATTTTTGTATTTATATGAAATCTAAACAAAAGACCTATTGAATTTAAAATACATCTAGGGAATAAGATCTTACTATCTCAGAAGAGCTTTTGAATGTATTATCAGAACTCTCAGGAAACTGACGAATAAATGTATCAATCATGAGTAGAGATGACTACTGCATAGGTATATGAATAAGAACGACATGTCGACTGTGTAGTAGTAATGTATTACTCTCTCATATCTGCTGTAGCGATGAAACTCCTATCTATATTAATTTATCTTATTACATAAATTGTACATATGATCATAACTATAACATGTTAATAATATAATATTTTTCGAATATACAAGTTTCTATAAGTACCTTGTGTATAGATAAAATTGCATCTTTGGATGAGGACATTTGTAGGGCGGTCGAATGCATGAAGTCGTGTTGAATAGATCTTGTACCGATTGTGGTTTCTTTTCACTGACTGGTTTAGCTTGCTCCTGACTATCCGATACTGTAAAGCAATGAAATTAAATATATATTTCTATTCGCACACACTTGTATATAACTCTTGTATTATTTTATTGACAACTAGCTGTTCCCGTGACTTACCCGTGGAATTTAACTTTTATTTTAACGTGACGGGAAAAAAAAAAGTCCCGACAAAATCGGTCCAGCCATTTCAAAGATTACCCGGAACAAACAGACAGACAGACAAAAATGGTAAAAAATATTTCAATATTACAAACAGATACTCCAATTTTATTTACATGTATAGATATATGTAAGTAAAATATATGTATAAACAGATACATATATTTTACAACATACAATAACTTTTGAATATTTCCTCAAGTAAAAATAAAAACTAATGTATCTAGATAGTCTATCGGTACTAATACATTTATTTATTCATTTACTAGTATATTTATTTTTCTTTTTTTCACTCGTCATCATTTCACTATTTGGTCCAAATCTAAACCAATATAGTCTTTATAAACTTACCATTTTCATACCCTTTGTTTTTTTTTATGATTTTTTTATTGCATTATGCAAAGTTACTATTTAAAAAAAAAAATATTTTAATTATGTACGTCAAATGCAGAAATCTAACTTACAAATAATTATTCTGTTATATAAATTAGTTATTTTGTAGGTGACGCGTATAGTCACCTACCAAATAACTAATTAAAATAAATTACATATTTTCGTATAAAATTTCATTCCTGTATGTTCATATATATATTTAGCATATACCCAAAATATATAAATATGCGAAACTACATTAGTAATACTAAATTATGCTTCGTATCCTCGAGATAGAGAAGAATATTTATCAATTATTAGAAATGTTTTTTGTCAGATGTGAACTCCAGAGTGACCTTTCATTCAATGTATTCAGTTTAAAACACGTCATCTCTCTAAAGTTGTTTTAAGTAGGTATTGACGGAGCGATATTCGATTTTTTTTAAATAAATGTCTACTCCCCAGCTATTAGTAAAACTACTTTTGTATATACATTATTGGTTAAGTGATTGATAGACATTTTGTAGCAAAATGATTCTAAATTAAAATTGAAAATATTTACCAGGATATTATAATTTAAATAGTATAAAATATTTGTCCAATTTAGAGGCGTACAGTGGTAATATATAAATAAATATAAATTTGGACGTTTTATTGTATTCGCAAAGATTATATGCAAATAATTAAAATAAATGCAAAATACCTAAAGCAGGCTGGTATTATATATAAGAGCAAAAATCACATGAAGGGAAATCACATGATCTCCGTACTACATTTATCCAAATACCAATAGTGCTTTTTTAATTCTGAGGAACAAGTTAGGATAATACTTAAATGCTTATATTAGACAAGTTATTGACTAACTTACCCATCACATCAGCAATCAGAGCAGCAATGAATGCATTGTTGTATATTACAACAATGTAGGCATTGCTACCACGCAGTCGTAACATATCCTTAGTTATTCAAACTAAGGATATGTCACCTGATTATTATCGATGAGGTGAGATAATTAGAATGAGATCTATCAATGTTATTACATCTTTTTCCATATAAAGTTTTCATGAAATCTATTATGAATATGATGATGATTATGAATATGGTAAAATGATGATTACTGGTGTATTTGATTCGAATCATGTATTGGTACGGAGGAAATGAGTACACTATACTAAATTATATATAACAACTTAAGTACATACTTTTTTTTCGGACTACTCTAATACTGTTTGGCCGCAGCTGGCTTTTAGAGTTTCACCGGACTATAAGAAGCGAGTGCAGATGCAGATGGCACTCCAAACCCGCGGAAGAACTTGTCTACTTACATATAATACAAGTATTGTCGTTCTAAGAATATTCTCTAAGCATAGGGTGATCGTCATTGATCAACATAGAAGTCATGTCGACATTTACTGATATTAAAATAGAAGTTCTAAATATATTTTGGCAATAGGTACACATTTAGTAATAATATACGAATTACTTCAGGAGATTGTATACATTTTCTTCATAGGCTTTGATATGTACGGCAATAAAGTAATGTGCGTAATTGTTTAAAATAGTTAGAGCGTAAACTCTTGATATGTACTTACATAGGTTTAAACATTTATATGTGGGTATCTAGATAAGTACTGGTGAATTGAGACAGCCTACTGACATGTTGTTTTATGTACCTATGGGGTTTCATAATACTGTACTGTATTTAATTACTTTTTACCTTTTTGCATTTTGTGTTGCATGCTGCAATTTATCTAAATGACATACATATAACGTAGTTTAAAAGAGTCAGCAAATGATAACAGGGTCTCCCGTAAACGCAAATGCAGTTTAGATCCCCATGGAACATTACTGTTGCTGACGTACTGGCCAAATAGTTTTATACTTCATATTTACAGTGTATTTGCTATTAAGATTTTATTATATATTTTTGTATACCGAACGATTTAGTCTAATAAAAAAAAAAGCAATTGTCTATCATTATACTCATATTTATAACAATAAATAGTTAATTGAAGGCATGCACAGAATCACTCCTTATAGTCTTTTATAAGAATATAATATATAATATGGTGTAATATACCGTATGTTTTGTTCGTCTCTGCCTGGAGTGCGTACTTTCAATGAGTATCTGAAGATTACAGTAAGATTAGTATACAAATTGTCGTGACCTATTGGGTCAATACCTTTGAAATTGAAGATTAGATAAGGTTATAGTTTACGAAGACAAAGATAGTGACACGTTTGTAGTAACAAGTTCACGTTGTATGCGTGTAGTAACAAATATAACATGAGCCGTCAGTTGCAGGTTAACATGGCAATGCGAGGTTAAATGTCTTGGACGCATACAAATGAATCACAGGCAGGTCACACTTTCACTGTTCATTGATTCACTTTATTTTCTATGCTATAATCGTTTCCACTATTATCTAGTTTATCGCTATTACATCATTTATAAATCAAATTAATCAATCAATTATTTAATTTTACAATAATTTGGGTAAAAATTCAATATCTTGATTGACGATAGCGGTTGATAATTGCCATATAAAAAACCGCATAGACATAAGTACAAAACGTTAATAATAATGTAATTAGCAATAGCTATTCTAATGAAGAAAAGGTCTGGCATGCTAGATTTCCCGTTTATTTAATGACAGTAATAATACAGAAGTACCTACTTTTATTGTATTGTAATTAAATAATTAGTGGTTAAGTCAACCACAAGTCTTTACTAAGTAATTATTTATATTTACTCAGGTTTGCAAGATGTTGAACTGATAGATATAACGTGGTTATGATTTGATGCCTTACCAATTCTTATGACTATGATGTTACTCCCATACTGGGTAATGTAAATACTCTATCTAATCACTTGAAAATTACTCTGATTAATAACAAAGCTATTATAGTTTATGCCTAGATGAAAGAAGATTTAGGTATAACAACTTCACATACAAATCAAAATTTTATTAAATATATTTCTACTTCTGCAATAAACAAGTTTTGTACAGTAAAAAGTTAATAAATTCTACTTGTTGATGAATATATTACGAAAATGTGTTACACGCATCGACGCCTGTGGTTGTTAGTACCAAAGTAATAACTATGGGCTATAATAATGGTATAATGAATGGCTTTCGTAATTTCCATCGATCGTGACATATCGGACATTGTGAAACAACTCATCCACCTTTGTTCGAAGGTCATACTTGCCTCATCCTTCGTCAACCTCCGGTATTTGATTAGTATATAGGTATTATAAAATTTAGTAACTAATAGTTTGGATATACTCTAACATAGCGATAAGTATACAACTTATATATTAAGTATACAATGAATAGTACAATTTAATAAGATATTAATTCTATAAAAAAAAAGCAATTACTTAATAGAAAAATTTTAAATATCTTTCCGACTGTCGGCGTTATGATAAACGCAGAGCTTGATTAGCCTGTAACACGGCATTGGTCATAATGTTTGCTTGTTTTTAGTTTGGTTTAATATTCCCGTTTAAAAGTAAATCACATTTGTTGCAAATTACTTATTATCAGTGAAAGAAAGGCGCAGAATTCTAGAAAGATAACGTGTGAACATTAGATTCAAAAGCAGCCAACTGGCATTTCCGTATCTACCATGTGGGCATTAACCAAATTGAGATCGTCCTCTTTTATAACCGGCTTTGTCCTACAAATAATATAATTTACTCCATAAAAGTTGTAACCGCATTATTCCGCGAACTTGACTGTTTGCATAACAAGAAAATCCTATAATCGGATACACGAAACGAGAAGCGATGAATATTTCGTGTTATGCAGAAGCGTAACCGCATGAGAGAATGTATTATGCAATACGAATGTCGGTCGAGTCGGGCGCGACACAAGTCCGCGACGAGATCTGGGTTCGGAAGTGCAAACGTTGTGAGCGCGTCGCCGACATGCAACTTCGAGGATGTTAACTCGTGTCAACACTTCAACATTTGAAGTGCTTTAAATACTAAACTAATTTAACAACATACGATCAATATATATTACGTATACATTTTTTGTAGTAAAATAAATATGAGGGACGAGTAACATTTATAAAGATACTTTGATTAGTGTGTAAAAAAACTAGCGGTATTTTATTATTAAACATTGTTGAATGAAACGATTTGGTTTAATTGCATACTGTATTTGTTTTCAACGTTGAAGTATTTTTTTGTGGGTTGACCCATAAATATTAAATAGGTAACACTTATTTAGGATTTTATCTACATAACTACAATCGCTTTAAATAAGAGAAATTAATGCAACAAATATTTATAAGTATGTTTAAATAGGAAATGTCTAGGTATTTCCTATTTAATAAATAATTACAAAATTTCATAGCATATTTACGTGAAATGCATAATCAAATCAATAACAAAATGAATATTTATAAAATATTACATTATTCCACTTAGTGCAGGTGTTCCACATTTATTGTAACGTATAACATTTCAAATGCGGATGAGGAAAGTACAAAACAAACTTACCGCAACATTACATAATTATGCAGCATAAGTAGTTATGTTTACAGTTATTGATTGTGTATAATGTTGCGTTCAAGAGAATTTTTGATAATAAAATTATTTACAATTCGTTGTAAAATATTTATTTTTTGTATGGGAATTTTTCGAAATAAAAAGCAGTATACCAGAATACTTATACAAATATTACTTATAGGTTAAAATAATAGTTTTTAATACAGTACTTATTAATTATTTTACTTATTATAAAGTTAAAGAAAAAACAATGTCGTATAAAATTTACGACAGTACATGCAAATTTAGTAATTGCTAAAATATTTTTAGCTGTAAAAATAGTTAAGGCTGAATAATGCGTCATTAGTTTTTGTGAATTTAGGTCAAGTGCGAGTTGTGAAACATCAAGGGGTCTCTTGTTCTGTGATAATAGGTAGTTCAGATAAGTTTCAGTCATAAGCGATAATTATCGATAACAATTATTTACTCATAAATATCGTACTAAAGCGAGTGAGCATGGTTCCAGTCTTGGGGTTGGTTCTAGACAACAAAGTGACATATTATTATGTGGCATATTGTTTAAATACCCATCTAAAAAAGCTGATAATGCAATGGGACTTATTAGAAGTTCGTGTTCTTAGTTTTTCAGTGTTAAGGTCAAGAAAGGTACTATTCACATTATGCTATCTACATAAATAAGATTGAGACTATCAAGGGAAGTTCATGAAATTTCTCCAGTTAAGTACAGAAGCAACAAAAATAGTTATCATGCTAGAACTTTAAAACATCCATTGTCTCTGGAAGTAAAACGTATGTATGTATAATTCCAGACATTGTTCTGCTAAAAAAAAATAGCCCAATCGAAGTTAGACTACTCAGTACTCCTTTTTTGATAAACAACAAAGTGTTCTCTAAATTTGCTCATTGCATCTCTAATTACAGGAAAATACTACTTCTGAAGACTATTTGAATAATGTTGTCATTAAAAAAAAAGTAGATCTTTTTTTAAAAACTTAACTACATTAAAATAAGCCCTGGCTAAGAATTGGTTGGATGGTGACCTGTAATCATAAATATAGTAGATAGTGGTTATTTGTTCAGTGATTCTTGCTTTAGTAGTATATTTTATTTTGTTTTTTTAATTGATTTATTCGTTTTTGTTTTATGAAGTAAATTATATAAATGTATTAGTATTTTTAATGACTCACGACAGTTGCGAATAAATGTAAAGGAGTAAATATATTAAGATTACATAAAGTGATATGAAATAAATAATCACTGTATAAAAAAATGTTTATAGGTATTCTATTGTTGCGATTGTCTTGGAGACTAACCGCGTGCCTCGTTGGTTATTGATTGCAATTCATTTAAGTCATTAGCAGTTATAGGTAGTCATTACGTATTTATTGGGTACCTATGAAATAAACCTATTAATGATAATTATAGTAAGACTAAATAATTTTAATATTGTCGTAAATAAATCATTAACATTAAAAAATAACATGAGTCGTCTATTTGTTCGTTAGCATTTCAATAGCTCCGACAAATGTTATGTAATTAATTGTATAAAGTTGCATAATATTTATTAAGAGTCAAAGAGGATATGCGGTAGGTTATCTTAATATGCTGATCAATTTCTCGATAGATCCCAATAACTTCTATTTAAATAGATTAAGTTGCCTTAAATATAGTGCAAACGCAAAAGACTATGTTTTAAATGAAATCTTGTTTATTATTAATTATTATAAAGAAATAGCAATTGTTACTTAACTACGAAAGAAAAACTAGAAATAAAATAAATAACAATAATTTTTTTATGTTTTAATTCAAATTATGCATATTGTGGGCATATTACTTAAAGCTTAGTACTTTAAAAATCGTTTTAAAACTCCTCATGTTCTTTCTTACCTGGCTCAAGATGGTTTTCTTGAAATATTAGTTTTTTTCTAATAATATTTTTTTTAAGTGAAGTCAAATTACATCGTGTCGTCAACCATCTTGTGTTAAAACATCAAGGATTACTGTCTTGTCTTGTTCTTGACATGTTTATAATACTAAGTAGATTCGTGAGTGAGAGCATCGTAGAATAGAGGTTTACTTTGAATGTGGCTAACACCAAAAAATACAATGCAAGAAACCACAGCAGGTTTGCTGCCGAAATAATGTTGAGTATACGACGTTGTATATTCAATACAACGTCGACAGTTGACAATGTCTCTGACTACCCTAATTATGCATTATAGTCCTTATATTTTTTGTTCATTGTAGTTATTTACCTTTCTTCTAGTTAATATTTAGTATTAAAAAATATATATTATAAAATATTATATAGATGTTATAGCATAACATCTATAAAATAAACTTACTAGGCTTGATAGCATAACATCTAGCTTCAGAGATTGCTTTGTACAGTAAATAATACAATTTGTACCTCAATAACAAGCATAAATTCATACCAATCTATACAAATATTAAAATCGCGATAGTGTATTTGTCTTTCAGTGGGACTATTTGTTTGTATTTTACCTATTCACGACTAAATGTCTGTTAGGATTTAAAATCAAAAGTGCGGGATTTAAAATCTTTAAAATAAAATTTTAGTCTAGTACACATTATAAAGGGTGTTAACAGCACACGTCATAATAAATACAATAATTTTGTATCTAACATAATATATTTCCAGGCAGAGATTTATAATTCTGAAAACAAAAAATATTTTTTTTTTATGTAGGTATCCAGTAATACTGTCTGGTAATAATAAAATCAAGGTAATGACATATTTTTTGTTTCATTATATTCATAATTATATTCTAAGAAAATACTTTGAGACGTGGCCTTGAAGTGCCGGATCAAATCTTATGTAGATAGATACGCTATCAATATTTGCCAGATTTGTGAATGCTAATTTTTATTATTATGTCGATGGTGGTAATTTAATATTAAAATTTAGATATATATTTATGCATATACAAATTTATATTAAAATAGTGAACATCTATTGTGAAATATTCAATACGCTTAATTTTTATTTATTGAAATTAATCGGTAATCTTATGTCGGTATGTGTATTATCTTTATTTAAAAATCTTGAATTTCATTCAATTAAATTTTTATTTAGTTTTGGTTTGCAAGGAACATATTTTAAATATTTATTATTATATATTCCAGATGAAAATAGTACAGTACAAATATAATAATTTAATAAAATCGGAATTACAAATTTTTCTTGTATATATATATTATTTATATCAACTCACCAAAAATTTGTATTGCAGTTAATCCAATTAAAATTAAGCACTTCTCACTAGTTAGCATGTTTTATGGAACCACTAGTTATTAAATGTATTTATTATAATAATCTCTAAACTACTACAGTAAAGTACGAATGTTGATTTTTTCTATAATAAATCTATAATCAACATAATATATCACAACCCGTATAAGAAATGTATTCACGCTAAAGTTTGCAAAGGCTTTTTTATTAATGTTGAGGATCCCTAAAAACGTGTAACCACATGCGTACTCAGCGGTAATACTGAGAGCGAAAGTGTTTGAGTCGACCCTCGCCAGCTGACTTCCCCCGTAGCGGATAACTTGTAAGTCTTACAGCCGCTCAACTCAGCACCTCATCCATTACCGTTATGACGTACACTTTACGTCATTAACTCATTATAAAATTGTAATGTTTATAATTAATTCTATTATACGAATATTTGTCGTCGTGTCGTTGAGGTCTACCGCATGGACTTAAGCCCGTAATAGTTATAATTCGAATTAAAACAACAAGTATTTGTCAATTTTTATTTATGTCTCTTTCTCACCGAAGAAATACTGATAATACACCAAATTATTGCAGTTTGAGAGACTGCGATAGGTATGTTGGATTGAAATATTTCGAACGAAAAGTAGTTGATTTAACTCTACATTTAGTAGAGTTAAATCACTGCCCTACAGGGATATTAAGTGATATAAGAATTGTGACGGTATATTGTTATAATAATCTCTTTATTCATAATAATTATTATACCCATGACCGGTTTATTTAAATAATGTACATTTTGGTTTACATCCTAGTATTTAGTATATTTGTACCTGAATGTTCATATTCTCTTGTATGTTATGAGTTTTAGTTTTGAATGATATTAATAATTAGATTAGTTAAAATTTCTTAGGTTAATTTGAATTGTATTTACTTTCACAGAATTTTGAAACGTACCTATGTAATTTTGTGATGTAAGTACATACATATATGCGTCGGATTATGTATCTGACCTTGATACGTTACATCTTATGAATGATATTTTCATACGTCATTATGGTTTCAATGAGGTCATTGACTTACATTTTTTAACTAGATCTCAAAAGTTTTATCTCCGGCATTACCGGTAGCAGGTAGAATAATTTTCCTTAACTTTTATGGCAATCAGAGTAGTATGATTGACTTTACGTAAGTAAACTTGAAGTTATTTATATATGACAGTTTGACATAAAACTACGTGGTTCTTGTATGTTTTTACTCAATCAATCAATCAATTAAAAATCATTTATTTATGTAGGACATTTTAGCAGCTGATGAACGTATTTTTTTTTAGATTCAGTTAACTACTTAATACAACTAATATAATAGATATGCTTATTGTCCTTGTAATCCATTAATAAATAGGAGGCTCTTGATGCAACTTTTGAGAATGCAAACAGACTGTGTACTGAGATGCTATTTATTTTTAAAGTAGCTTGTTAATACCTCCTAAAATACACCCAGATAGCAGATTATTAAAACAATATTTTATTTTACAGATAATTGTATTTAATGCTTTAAATTACACAGTACGCCACGTCCGGGAGTTGTTTGTATGAAATTCGACTATTATTAATATTCGATTCTACGTATTTATGTGAAATAAAATTTGGACCTTCTTGATTGATTTATTTTAAAAAGAAACAAGTTCAATTAACTATTTTTATATATACATAAGGAGGTATTTATATTTAAGGACATCAGGAAATACTCATACATTATATACATACATACATACTTAAATAATACAGTATTTCGGGTAACTTCGTTATAATTACAAGGAGAGTAGGTATCTGAATTTATATAATAATAGTATATAAATATTGTACAGCAAATTTTGCGGTTGCATTTAGGATAATTACACTTTTAATTAAACTATTGTAGATTCGATAGAGATCGGGATTACTGTCAGTAAGTAGAATGTTGCTTTTATCATTAGAATATTAACGTGAACAATTTTAAATATCTCTTGTTATTTAATAAATACATTAAGATTTCCTTTTGTTTGGCCCACGTGCATATGGAGATTCACTATTTGTTCGAAAAAAATACAAGCCGGATACACTGCAATAGAAAAAAAATAGATTTTTAAAAAAACATCAATAAACAAAGGCTCAAATATACACCTATTAATCTACAATAATCTACATGTAAGAAAAATTACTCTCTAATATGAGACTCATCGTATTAATAATTTTGTTTCGTATATGATTTCGAATTGCGCTGTATGCTTTATGATCCATAATATATATATTTTAGTCAATGGAAATAAAAACAGAAGTTGTCACGTGCATAGCTATAAACTGTAAGTAATTATTGCATTCATTCATATCAACTGCGGTATGTTACTGTAGAAGGGAAGTGTTTCCGGGTGAAAGTGTGGAGTGTTTCGGTCCCTGCACTTTGATACAGAATCATTGAAATGGGGTAACAGTGTTGTTGAAAGATTTAAATTTATTGCAAACATATATGTAAGAAAAGACAGTGTTTCTTACTTTTTGGCTTACTAAAAACTCGACCAAGTACAATTATTAGATATATTCGTATATGTATAGGAATAGGAATCATCACTACTATTCCTTCCCAGAATGTCGTAACATAATATATCTAGGCTTCGATGAGCATGAAATCCAAGAAAACCAAATCAAACTTAATTTATAACAAATATGTTTGCCCTACATGTAGTTAGTACGCCAAAATCCTCCCCTCATTTGGAGAAAAAGGTGCTCTGCAGGGATGCAGATGCAGATGGATGTAGCTGGTCGTATATTTTTGAGAGATATTATGACTAAGTAAAAGATATTTATGACTTACTTAGTTGGAACGTATTCCCCAAATAAAACATCATCGCTAGAATCATAAAGTTCACACCACCCAATCATATAACTTATCCAAGAATAACATTTTGTTCCATAAAATCCAACATCAGTGTTTATTGACTCTGCATAATATGCCGGAGCTCTGGCGTGCGCACACGACGAACTTGCTAAAAAATATAAGAAATCTGTTAGTTTTTATTAGTGCCTGTACACAATTTTTTGCAAATGCAACGTTGTTACTCTTATTGGAAATACCGTCGCGCAATAATAATAATATAATATTCGTTGAGTTTAGTTACAGAGATATCTATTAGTCAAATTCAAAAGTATTATAGCATTATAAGGTAGACTTTGTATAAGGATACCTGTAGCGTGGATCTGTATTAATTAGCTCAACAATTTCTGCCACAAAGGCACTTTCTGGATGTGTTTCGGTTAAAGGGTGAAGATAAGGCTGGAAAATTACAGCATGTAAGGTATACATCTTAGTCCTCCAAAATGACAAAGCATGAATAGTATCACGGCTATCCCATGATGATGATATTCATGTTACTGATCATGAATATAGAGGATTACCACAAACAATTTTCAATCTCTGATTGGTACCAGAAGATTACTTACGATTTTCGTTATTATTATATATCTTTTTCTTTGATATAAATACGCATAAAACGTTATTTATTCCCGGAAAATTATTTTTAAATGTTTTTTCAGATTAACAACCAAAAGTCAGTAGTAGGAAACTACTGACTTCTATTCTTGAAATATTTACTTTGAGTTAAAATAATTGTTAGAATTAAATGGTATACATATATGATAAAGCCGATAAATTATTCCAAAGAGCTCAACATCACTAGTATGCTGCAAATCTGAAAAATAGGTTAACTGTACTCACATGCGTTAGCCGTGGTTCGACAGCCGGGTTGCGTAAGTCCTCCGTTAGCGTAAAAATCTATCGTCCCACTAGACTCCAGTTTCCCTTTTTCTAAAGAATTGGTGTGCAAAACATCTACGAAATTGGCATCATCTGAGTCTATTTTCTTACTCTTATCATGCGTTACAAATAGCGGCATTGCCGGATCTAAAGCTGTAAGTGGACGTTACGTTAAGAGACCACAGATCTAACAACTGTTATTTCATCTGGGATGAACAGAGGTATTTTCCGGCTTATTTGACACTAGACACTATATTTCACTGTATATTTATTACTGTCCAGTATAGAAAAGGGCTACCGCTATATCTCTCGGATTAACTGAGTTTGATATCAGCGTTTCTACCAGGAAATGTTAATAAGAAATGTAAATTCATACACGGATTTTTGGTATTATACATATTCGAATCCACATCTTTGCGATCATTGGGGATCTAAATTAATAGTAAATCACTGAGTCAAGACATCTCTAAAAATTGTATGTATTCTAATTATAATATTATACCGAAATGATTTGCTATGACTCTCTTAGACCATAACATCATTATTTCTGCTACGTGACATAACTACATACACGAGTATTAGACGACGCCAAATCGATATCGAATTCTTATTATATTTTAAAAGGCTTTTAACTTACTCCAGTACCATACCTTAAAATCTTTTCTTCTTCTTTAATAAATATATATAGTGTTAATATATATTGTAAAAATAGATATTTGTATTATTATTAATATTTTATTCAAAAGTAAAAATTGTAGCATTTTTTAACAAACAGAAAACATATATCGAAAACAATTATCGTTTTTACATCGTTTTCATTAATTTTGTTATCGTTGAAACAAATTATTTATTAATATACATAGAACATTTGCAACTATATAATTATCGCCTTTTGTATTGTTTATTAGACTTTTAATTAGTGTTGTTATCGCTTAAACAAATTATTTATTAACATACATAGAACATTTGTAACTACATAATTATCGGTTTTTGCATCGTTTATTAGACTTTTAGTTAATTTTGTTATCACTTAAACGAATTGCTAATTCACAATTTCGAAATTCACATTAATCTAGGTACATCGGGCATAAAAGTTATTTAATTGATAGTTCTCTTCTATTAAACTGATACGAATATATAGATATTTTTCTCGTAAATACATACATATTATACATAGAAAACACCCAGACCGACACAAACAATCATACTCATGAATACCAACGATTGCGCCGTGCGAGGAATCGAATCCGCGACCATCGGAAGTACGAGTAAGGCCTAGTGCTACACCACTAGACCACCGAGATCGTCATATCGGCTTTACGTATCCATTTTTATTTCTATAGAACTAAGAACTAGAGAATAAGAATACGATTTTATTGAATATAAAAATACTTATATTATTATTTTAGATAATGATTCACAAAAATCTTTATTTAGCACTTTACTTTTTTTCGTGCTTGTTCCATTTTACAGCATTGTCACGCAACATGAATTTACCTTGCACGGTACGATTAAAATTTTATTATTATATATCATAACTATTACTATCAGCCCACTTAGGAATTTACTCAAATAATACTGTCCAGCAAGACTAATCTAATTGATGACGATTAATAGAATTGACCACATTGTCTAGCGGTTTAGCACACAGCTTAAGTTCTAACGGTGTTGTTATATAAAAAAATAATCTCAGGCAAGATCAGGCAATATACGTGTATGAAATTAATGTGGTATATTAAATAAGTAATCAATTATAGTATTATGAAATAAATAAATATTTACCTGTTATCCTATCAAATCGTCCAGATTTTATGTAGTTCGCGACGTAGCCAACAACTTGACCACCTAGACTGAATCCAATCAAGTGGAAATTACTTATGTTGAAACCATGATTTTGAATAAGTTCGTCAATTAACTGCGCAGTACATTTTCCGACTAATTCGGTGTTTGTTGCAGCACTGTAGTAACAAGGCTCTCGGGCTATAGGGTTGTAGTCAATAGATATTATGTTGTAATTACAACATTCCATGTATGCTGGAAATGTCAAATAATATTTACATAACATAGGTGAAGACTTTAGTAGTGGAGAATTAATGGCATATTCTTTCAAAGAATTAGTAGTAGATACTGCAGTAATTACAAAAATATTAAATCAGTAACACAATACGTACACTCGTATAACATCTTCTCGTATATCTACTGTATAAAAAATATTGTTTTTACCTCATCCGTTACATCTGTCCTCGTGTACAAAGTATAGGTACTTGTTTAATCCAACATAAACGTATGCAAAGTTAAAAAATAATACTTCAATATTACACACCTTGACAACGTAAGTGTACACTATTACAATACGAGTACCTATGTTCTAGAACACTGATATTTGCATATTTTTCTTATAATTAAATTATGTATTTGCATAACAAAATGCAGAAAACAACTACTAATATTCAAAAATATTTTAAATTTATTCAACTACCCACCCGGTCTAATTTCTGTATTCGGAGAGAAATCTTTATGTCCAGTATATCCGTGTGATAATATTTTAACAGGTGCACCTTTAACCCACGGCGCTGATTCCAATGACTTAGCATCCATAGCAAGTAGCTCATGAGGATTATCTTTGTTCTCTCTGCAATTATAGTATAACTTCTTCAGTATTAATAGTAGTTCCAATATAAAATATTATTAAATATGAAAATCCTAATCTAATTACATAACATCATGTCTACTTACAAAGATATTTTACACCTGTTAGTCTATATATATTTTTTTATGACCGCTCTCAAATACGAGTTTGGCTATGTTTCAGGTCGATGATGAGATATGGCACTAAAATTACAGGCTTCGAAGGTCACACCTCCAACATCATAGTTGTCTACCACAGACGACTTATGAATATAGACGACAGTGGCTACTTATAATCTCAAGTGGATCGTCAGATTGTTTGCCATTTCATTCATATTAAAAATACATAGTTGTTGTTCTTAGCCAATAAGCGTTAAACTTACCTCGTATAGAGCCAAAATGTTACGTTTTCATTGGGGCATTCCAAAGGAGGTCTAATGCAACCAAATTGACTATGAACAGGATAGAACGCTGAAAAAATATTAATGATTGAGTACAAATAATTAGTGAAATTATTATGATCGTGTTCAACAAAACATTAAGTAACAAATGGTGACTGTGGTCTTTCGCTCGGTAGGGGAAACATTTGTGAAAGATATGATAAAATGAAAATGTTACAAAATCGCCTGTAATTTATTAGTATCACTAATTATTTACAATCACCTATGTTTACATTAAGTTTATGTATATCCATTTTTCTTCATCATAATCAACAACAACATCATCTTCGATTTTCATGGCAGGGACTATGTATAAGAATTCACATAAACATTCTATCTAGGAGGCTAAATATAGTGTTTCTTTTAGAATTGCGACATTGTGCTTTGTTGTCATAGGTCTCATATAGTAAGTTGGGTACAAAAACTATCATCACATATCGTATCTTACTCGATTAGGTATTATTTGGAGAGACTCATTTAGCTAATGCTTTGTTTGAATCCAAATTAACAGGTGACTGTCTGCTGCTGTCGTATAGTTTATAATAAATATTTCCATTATCCAAGAGTTAGAAATAGAAAATCTCATATACCGTATTATACATCGGTCAGATTTAATTTCAGACAAGGTACTTTTACCTAGCAATAGGCAATGTAAGGTATTATGTGTGACATACCTGTTTTCCTTCCTTTAAATTCATCAGCCTATTCATACAAGGATGTGCCTACATTTTATTTAACTCTTTTATTTTAATTTAACTCTCTTTCATTTTAGTAACATAATAAATAATTCACTAGAATTTATACTTTATTTCAACATGTTATTTAAATTTGAAAACTTACCGAAAAACGTTTGTATAAGAAGTGTTGCCAACACCAGCATTATCAGTTTTCTAAATATTTTGCGTAAATTGATTTTTTTAAATAGAAAGACCGATTTATATTTCTTTTCTCTTTTTGTAGCTACTTTACTCCTTCAAAGTTACTACCCAACTGAGACTCTAAGTAATTTAAGGGGCTTATCGCCGACATATTTACATGGTGTACTTTAATATGGTTTTATTGTAAAACTATTCAGGTGTTCTATTCATATTATAGTACAACTACTTAAGGGCAATACTTAATTGTTCTATATAGAAATTCTTACCACTGAGTATATTCTAAAAACTTGTGTTTTTTCTCGTATTTGAAATACAAAGCCAAATTATCAGCGAGGACCATATTTCAGTTTTAATAATAATGCATAGGTAGGCTAATATTTGGTTTAATGAGGGATCTTATATTGTAAAATTGTCGCACCATAGATATTGAACTACCTCATTTAATTAATTGCTTAAATTTGAAACGTCTAAAAAAATTAATACTTATTTGAAGAATACCATAAGGATATTAATAAATATTTCAAATAATACCAGTCTATTCTATATGTATATACTTTAAATATTATTATTAAATACACTTTCTGAAGTTGATTTGATTCTTAAACAATATAAACATTTGTGTTCATGAATACGTATATTTGTTTCTATTGGTCTGGATGTTTTCTATATATTGTGTGTAGGTATGCCTACGGTTATAATCAAGTTTTCTAGAGCTTATAATATAGATTTGTTTAGTTTAGAACTTGGTGGTTCTGTGTATATAGGAATACGGAAATATTTTTTGACATTTGTGTTTTTATTGCTAATTCCTGAGATGTTACGTATTAATTTGAAAAGATAGAATACTTATAGATATTAATTAAGAAACAGAAGTAGAGTACTTTTGTTTAATAATTAATATCTATATGTAACTACATGTACATTTTATCACTATATTCCGTATCAAACATATATTTTCTCCTAATCTTCATACATTCATTGTACTTCCATAATATAATGCTTAAAGTAATATGATTTTAGCAATATAATATCCGCCGTATATTGTAAATAATGTTCTTCGACAAAATTCTAATTAAATTCCACCTAGGCACCAAAACTACTCAACCCTGTTTTGTTCTAAATTGACATGTAAATGATATTAAAATTGTCGTCACTTACATGCGTGTTTTTGTCATCTTATCACCACCGTTACAAGCAGTTTTTTTTGGAATTGTAGTACCTGTACCTAACATTGGTGGTAATTGCCTGTAGGGCCCCCATTGATAATATTTAAGGACAAAGTGTTTGACGCTCTAATAGTAAATACTTACAATGTATGCCACTTTCTTATCAAGTAAACAATACGAAATTATTTCTTATTTGTATAGGTATTTAAACTTGTATAAATAGTAGAATTTAGTTTTTGCAGTGAAAAATAAATAGGTTCTTATTACTTGTCTATGATTAGGAGATTTTTAATCTACAATTACTATGAGTGGCATTAAGAACAATGTGATTACATTTTTAGTATATTATTAATTAGATAATGCATCTGGACAATTCTAAACCGACACAATGATTCTTTTTGTAATTGAAATAATTTAATTACACCTCGCTATCATAGATGCTGATTATGTAAATATTGTAAATATATTTATTACTTAACCTTTTCCTAATATAATGATATTTAAGTTAACTTATTCCGTCACTTTATTGTGTTTCCTACATCAGGATGTAAGATATAATCCTTCTTAATTACGGCAATAGGATTGACGCCGTCCAGTGAAATATTTTCGAAAGATTAGTTATATATAGTTAGAATATAACTATATCATGTCAATCAATCTGTAATAGCCATTGATCCAAGGTAAAATTAAATTTAAACTTGACATTTATTGTACATTCTTACTTGGATTAATAAATATAATAATGTCGTATGTACAAAAAAAAATATAACGCAATCCTTGAATATGTTTTCAATTTCGTTAATAAGAGCAATACAATCCCGGAAATCATCTTATCAATACAGAAACTCAAAATTGAGTATGACATTTGCAACATAACTGCTCTTGCCGTAAACAAATATACAATGAAATTCTATTCCATGATTTAGGAATAACGTTCAATTTCCCTTACAGGGATCATCTTATGCACTTTTTCTTTACATCATTGGTAAATTCTTTTAGCATTCGTGGAAATTATAATTGAGTGTCTGAATGTAGAACGTCGGTTACACTTATTTCAATATCTATCAGGTGAGCCATTAGCTTATTTGCTATATCTGCTAGTTGCATAAGAAATCTTAATAAATCAAATGTAAGATAGAAAAATTACTTTGGCTACTACTGTCTGTATAAAATACATTTTTTAGAACAGGACTTGTATTAAACTCTAAAATACTGTAATTAAAATATGAAAAGCCTATGAATTTAGTCAAGAAGTATATTTGTGTAAGGATATAGACTTATATTCGGTTGTCTCTTTCTACCTCATACCTAAAGAATAAAAAGTGAATACAAATAGAGACAGAATATGGTAATCATCTTAACTAAATAAAAATTTAATTATAGATTGGAGACTGAAGATACGTTGGTACACAATGAATTAAAACACAATATAATTCATTTACATTTATTTGCATATACTTATATTTAGTCAGTTCTGTTGAACATAGCATGCATTTTGGCACTTTGTTCACTACATAATATGGCGGAATATACTATAATTTGTAGAACATTTGTAAAGAGCTCCGACTATGAAAACAGTATGGAAGTATGCAAAATTATTATACTTACAGGGTTTTAAGATCACAATAATTTACTATGCCTACTTAATATAAGCGTATTATATAACATTATATACAATAACCACCATATTTTTTATACAATACACTATATTTATGGAAACAGACAGAGCTCTAATTTGTACAATGTAATATATTGATAACTATTACTGAGTTGCCAAAAATAAAAGTATCACATTAAGAATGAAATGTGTTTAGTTTTCAAACTTTGATTCTTATGGAATGTAGACTAAAGATTGAGCTATAAATGTAATAGCGTTAACATTGCTCAATAAAAATTATGTTTTATCAAAGAGTATACAAAATATTCAATATTTACCTATGTATATACAAATTATTTAAAAGTCATATACATGTAATGAGGTTGAAAGTTTAATATATTTAGTACAAAGAATCCACATGTCATAATTACAATTATGTAACAATTTATGGCAAGAAAGAATCTAAAGACCTTGATACAAGATCATAACAATAAATGTACAAATCTTAAAACTAGTATGTACAACATATTTTCACAATTATACGTATTCTTCCGACGGCTTTGGCGTACCGTTAGGAAGTCTTAAAGAGGAAGACATTCGACCGTTTACAGAGTCCGGTAGTTCTGCAATATCTTTGAAAACACCAATCATACTTTCAAAATTTTGACCCCAATTTAATAAATTTAAGTAATCCCAGCCTATAGTTCCCGATGCAGGAGATCCATTAACTTGTCTATATAATGCTGAACTAACATGAGGAGCTAAATCATCATCCGATGCGACTAGAGTACTAAGCGAACCTCGAAATGAAGAATCGAAACTTTCATAAGGAGGCGGTAGAATCGGTTTTTGTGAATTACTTCCACTACTGACATTCTGTCTTCTTACATCCTCAGGTTTATCGGCATTAATACTATTATTATCATATTCAATTTCAGAGCAGGTGAAGCTATCATTGCCACTTTCATCATCAGAGCCAGTCGAGCTTCTATTATCATCCTGTGGTGAATGATGTCTATGTGACATATGGTGACCAACTCCTCCTACTCTTGGCGCTTCACTTGAACTAGATACAGCATCTAAAGTAGAGACTAAGCTTGACGTTCGTTGTCTGGCATTCATTCTCTCTATTTCCTCAGCCGTTAAGCCGACAGCTCCCGATCCAACAGAAACTACTTGTGGAACTTGTGGTGTAGCACTAGGTGTTTTTCTACCAGCTGAAGAACTTTGACCACTTAGTTGTGACATTACAGGGCTGTTCAAACTACGCTCACTGTTACTATGCAAGGCATCTTTGCCTACTCCACCAGAACTTGATGTTGTAGCTAATAAGGCACTCTGTAGTGGTTTCCCTGATATGTCATGAAGAGTCAGTATTCGTGGCTGTTGACTAAGCTCACTACTGGGAGATAAACGTGCAAGTGGAGTTGTCTGATGTTGTCTTGTTTGTGGAGGTGGTTGAGAAGTCTGTGGTATTACTCTTGGTGGATATCCACTTGGATGATGTGGTGAATGTCTATGTTGGGGTGTTTGATGTTTATGATGGTAACCCGCAACTGGAGGAGGAGTGGCTTTATATTTTCGTACACCTGCAGCCTCACGAAATCCTTTATAATGATACACGATATCAATATCAGAGGGTGCTATGGAACTTGCATTTTCAAGATCATAGTGTTCAGGGACTTCTGAATTTAAATCCATACCGCTTGGATGATCATGGGTATGATGTGATGTATTTGTAGAAGGTGGTGGTGGTGGATGATGGTCTTCTCTTAGAGCTGGACTTTTTCCAACTACTTCACGTTCTATAATATCAGGACGTTGAGGTCTGGGTGGATCGATATTCATAATTTCTCTATCTTTATATTTTTTCGACAAAAGTTCAGGACCTACTATATGATGAACATTTTCAGGTATGTAGTTACTTAAATTGGTTTCATTGTTGTGTAAATTTCGTCCCATTAAACTGTCATTTGTTCCTGCTATTAGATTTGGAGCATTTAACATTGCAGGACCACCATTTTGTTTAGAATGTATCATATTGCTTTTATTCGTAGGACCTTTTTCTTTCTTCTGCTTTCGAAGACGGAAGAAAATAAACGAGACTAATATAGCCACGATTAGTATGATAAAGAATACTATTACAAGAGTAATTCCAATACTAAGGGGATCAGGATTTGGTGTTAAACCTGTACCAAATGCATTATGGCATCCAGCGAGTATTTTTCCTTTTCGCAATGCCTCTTTGAATATGCTACCGTTTCCATAAAATGGCTGTATTTCATTATTTATGGAAAAATTTGCCAAGCAACCTTCAAACTTATTGTAACTAGTTAGTGACAACCACTCTGTTTTTATTCCTCCTAAAGATATGACTGTAAGGTACGGATCTAAAAAATCATGTACACCAGCTGAATCGAGTTCTTCGCCAACATTCTGGTCATCTACAATCAAACGTATGCTTCTCCCAAGTGAAAATAATGTGATATTATGCCATGTACCATCAGAAACATCATTCTGTTCCGCTTGGGTCATATTAACTACTGTATTTTGTTTAGATGTGTAACTCACTTTTCCTCCCAATAATTCAATTAATGTATAATATTTATCGGTTGCTGCATAAAATAGAATTCCATCTTTTCTATATGTTCGAAACGAAAATGATAAACTTTTTGCTGGACTATTTAATTTAATAACAGTTTTGCTAAGTGATCTGCTGATTTTCTTATCCCATCCTGTATTTCCACCATAAAAAGTTTCAAGTAATTGCATTCTTCTGTGCTTTTCTGATACTATAAAAGAAATAAATCCGTTTTCATTTACTGAGATGGACTGCAGAGAAAGACTACAATCTGGAGATATAAAATTTCCATCACATTTACAGTAATTGGTTTTCCATCTGTCAAGACATTCGCCATTTCTACAAGAGTCTCTTTTGTGACATGCTCCTTTTTCTGATCGTTGACAATTAGTATCTACACCGTAGGCATGTAGTGGATTTGACATATTTAGCAGACGACCGTTTATTGATATACTATGCATACACCCGACGAAATCGTCAGAATGGATTTGACCTGGCCGTTCCAATACTGGATCTGCTTTGTGGAGTCCGCCGATAAGTAATGGTTCGTTGTTGAAATTCAGTGTACTGAAAAATGAGAAATCAATAATTAAAGAACAAGTAAGTAATTACAAAAGTAATAAAATTGAGACATATCATATGAATAAAATTAGATTTTCGAAGTCTGCACATGCAAATTCTTTATTATATATACTCTTTAAGTATAATTAAGAAAGGTTTTATTTCAACATTTGTTGTTCTTTAAGTTTCTGATTAATATTTAATGCGAACTCGAACTTGTAGAATTCCTTATTCAACAACCAGATTAAAAATATAAAGTTAGTTAGTTAGAATAGTTAGTTAGAATATTGTTTAAAAAATTATGATCATATCACTTCAATATACATACCCTGCTTGTCCAGTATCGTCATCATAGCAAGAGTCATCTCCAGGTTCGCATTCAGTACAAACATCACCATGATCTATACACGATGCAATACTTAGTGAAATAACTCGACCATTTCTTGTGGCAGTTAACTTATACCATTCACCATCTGCTAGGTTTCTATTGAAGTTGTTTATGGCGACAGAAGTTATTGATGTTCTTGATCCTCCAAAAGAAAATACCGGCTTTCCTCCTAATAACTCAATGGCTATAAAGTCTGATCTTCCACCTGTTTGTATACCATAATTATAAAGCAGTAATGCATCTGGTTTTGTCGTAGCAAATATAATTGTGATATCATTCGTTGAAGCATCCAGTGCTGGGAATTGCATAAAGGATAACTCATTAAACCCAAACGTTGCACTTTCGCAATGTGTGCCATATCGGCCATTTGTACAACTACATTTGTAACCAGGCTTTAGACTTATACATATACCTCCGTGGAAACATGGATTAGGTCTACATGAATCCACCAAGGCTTCACACTGATTTCCACGATAACCAGGACGACATAGACAAAAGAATGAATTTCTATCGGCACTTTCTTTACAAGATCCACCATTTTTACATGGATTATTATTACAAACATCATCTCTTTCTAACTCACATGTTTTTCCTTCACGCCGCGTTGGGCAATTACATATAAAGTCATGACCTTGTTTTCGACATTGTCCACCAAAACGACAAGGATTTGGAGAACATGGATCTTGTCTTTTTTCACAGTTATCGCCAATAAATCCATCAGTACAATAACAGTTATATTCGTGATTGATTAGTGGCGAAGAAAGTATGAGTGTAGAACTTTCAATTATTTTAGTGTCTTCTTGTACTTTAATAGCATCTGTACAAATTCCACCATTCTGACACTGATGAGAAGCGCAAGGAAAATAAGGTACAATTACTTGACTTTTTAATAATTTTGAAAGCTCTCCTTGTTTGGATTTCAAATAGTGTTCCGTATTTTCTCTTTTAACTATTGAATGATTTCCTCTAGTTGCTATAGTCAAATCCAAATTTCCCATTACTTCATTTATACTATATAAATAAATACTTTCTTTACTTCGTAGTCCTATTTTTAAAATTTCAAGTAAGCTACGATAATAATTAGAAAGAAAATCTGATGAAGTCATATTCATAATTTTCATAGTCACAGATTGGCTAACTGTAGAATTATCAAAAGTAAAATATTCGACACTAACTGAAGATATGACGTCTCTATGTTTTCCATCATTACCTAGTACGGAAAATGAATGTCCTTGTCCGGGCCTAATGGCAGTGGTATGAAGATCACATCCTTTTTTAATATTCAATAGATTAAGAGTAGTATCAGTGGTAGATTCCTTTATTATTTTGCATTTATAATCTCCGATAATATCTGGATCGTTAGGTTTTACATCAGCAATTTTTCCCTTCGGTACTTTATTATTAAATGCATAAACGAGAATATGTACTGATCTAGGTGTTGGAGGATTATCATTTCGATCTAAAATTTTGACGAAAATAGTAAAATTTGATTTCATAACTGGAGTGCCGCTGTCTGCAATTTGGAGTATTATTTCTAGATTTGGAGTCAATTCTCGGTCTATTTTTGTTGTAGTTAAAATAACTCCAGTATGTTTATCAACCTTAACGTAAGATTTCTGTTTGCCTCCAACAATCGAATATGTAAATGGTGCTCCATTTGGAGGTAGATCTGGATCTTTTGCTGATAATGTTGTAATACTAGTATTAGGAGGTTCATTTTCGTACACCATACCTTCAAAATTAGCTACATCAAATACGGGGCCATTATCATTTATGTCTGTTATTGTTATTTTTACTGTAGCTGTACCAGTTTGTGGTGGAAATCCAGTGTCAATAGCACCGACTATTAAAGAATATGTAGATACTGTTTCTCTATCTAGCTGGCGTGCAACTTCTATTTCTCCAGATTGGGGATCTATTTTAAAATCTTGATTAATGTTGCCTCCAATTATTGAAAAACTAAACTGGTTATTTTGTGGGCGAACATCTTTATCAACAGCTTTAACTTGAATTACTCTTTGGCCTATTTCAGCTCCCTCGGAAATATTTGCTTCATAAATATTAATTAAGAATTCAGGTGGATCATTTCCATCTTGAATTGATATTATTACTTGAGCTTCGTCGGTATCATTTCCATGAATTCCACCAAAATTTTTAGCTAATACAGTCAAAACCACTCTATTTTGAGTTTCTCTATCCAAATATCTTGCAACTCTTATTACTCCTGTCTGAGAATTAATACTGAAACCTTTATCATTACTAGAACCAACAAATAAATAATAAATAATACCATCCTCGCCACTGTCTTGATCTGTAGCTTTGATAACGCCCACATTTGTGCCTACTTCAGCCGACTCTGATACATCAAAATGAAAAACAGGTTGGATAAATTTTGGATAATATTCATTAACACCTGTTATATGTACAACTATTTCAGTTGTACTTCGCATAGTAGAGTCTGGATTTTCTGCCAATACTTCTAAACTATATGATGTCTTTTCTTCATAATCAAACATATCTTTAGAAAAAATTTCTCCTGTATTTGAGTTTATCCGAAACAGAGAAATCGTAGAATTTTTGATAAAATACCTGATAATTGCATTTTTTGGCGAATCAATATCTGTAGCTGTAACTTTAAATACAAAACTATTAACCGGCGAGTTTTCTGGTAAATATGCTTCATAATATGTTTGATTAAATTGTGGAGCATTATCATTTATATCAGTTAAAATAATTGTAAGAGTAGCGGTGGTTTCTTTTGATTTGAAGCCTAAATCTTCAGCAGTTATATTCAGTCGATACTCTTGTATTGTATCGTAATCTAATGGACGGAGTATACTAATAGTTCCAGTAATAGGATGAATCTGAAATTCCTTTCCAGCATTGCCCGATGATATTGCATATCTAATTATACCATTGGGTCCATCATCTTCATCGCTTGCTTTTATTGTCAGTATTGAAGAGCCTACAGGTTCATTTTCAGGTACAATAACTTGATAACTTAAAGCAGTAAATTTGGGACTATATATGTTTTCGCCTGTTACAACGAAGGTTAAAGTTGTAACATCTGATTGTGGAGGTACTCCTCGATCAATAGCTTTTACTTTAAGTTTGTAGTATTGTCCTAAATAATGAAATTGTTTATTTACAATTATCCAGCCATCTGATTTATCCACGGCAAGATATGCCGTACCATTTCCACTAACTACATGATACTCTATTTCGGCATTTATACCAAAATCCTTATCGTCTCGTGCAGTTAATTTGATAACTTTTTCGCCCAATGTAGCGTCTTTTGGAACGGGAACAAACGTTTCATGTTGATTAAATTTAGGAGCGTTGTTATTGGCATCTACCACATTTACTGTAACCAAACATTCAGATGACATTGGAGGCTTTCCATTATCTGTAGCTACTATAATTAGCGAATACGTATTTTCTGGTGATTGGTTAATAGATGTCCGTTTGTAATTCATCATAAATTTACTCATAATTTCTCCAGTAGCGGGATCAATAGCAAACAAATCTGATGGTTGTTGCAAAGAGTATGAAATTATAGAGTTAGGGCCTTGTTTATCTCGATCAGTAGCAATGACTTGCCCCACAAAACTGTTTTTCTTTTGTAATTCAGGAAAATTAAAACTGTAAAAAGAATATTCAAATTCTGGAGCGTTGTCATTTTGATCTTGAATTGTTATTGTCAACGGTGTTTCAGAACGCCAAGCTCCATCAATAGCGGCGACCTTCAAAATATACTCATCTTGCAATTCTCTATCTAATGGGCGGGCGACAGTGACATTACCACTTACGGAGTCTATAATAAATTTGTTTCCTGGGTTTTCTACAAAACTATAAGTAGCATTTGCATTTGAACCTATGTCTAAATCTGAACTTGTAACTTTTATAACAAAAGATCCTATTTCAGCGTTTTCTGTTACATTAACACTAAACAGTCTTGTGAATCTTGGTGGATTATCATTTTTGTCCTGAACTGTTACAATAACTGTTGAAGTTCCTACTAACTGAGGTACGCCATGATCTACTGCTTCAACCAAAATCTCATAATATGGTATTGATTCTCTGTCTAATGGTATGTTAGTATATATTTCTCCTGTTTCAGAATCAATTTTAAATGTTTCCTCATAATCATTGACCAGCTTAAAAGATATTCTACCATTTTCATTTGAGTCATCATCATGAGCATCGATTTTAATAACCAGCTGAGGAGGAGATTCCTCTTCTGGTACTGTAGCATTATACAAATTATTTTCAATTACTGGAGGGTTATCATTTGCATCTGTTACTTTTATTTCTATTTCTATAAAAGATTTTAAAGGTGGATTATCAGAATCACGAACTTCAAACCATACTTCATATAAAGGCATTGTTTCATAATCCAATCCCTTTCCGGTAATGAATACTTCACCGCTGATAGGTTCAATCCTTAAAGCATCACCTACATTACCACCAGCAATCGCATATTGTAATAATCCTGATGGCCCTTTTTTAGGGGAAGTAGCAGAAAGTCTGGTCACTAATACACCTTCTGAAGTATCTTCAGAGAAAGTAAATGTTAGTTTATTTGTGACAGTGAACTTGGGAAAATTTTTCACTGATTTAGCTATAAGTATCAATTCTGCCGTACTTTGTCGTGGATTATCACCATTGTCAGTAGCTATTATTACCAAATTAAACGTAGATCTACTCCTACTTACATATTTGATAATATTGTCTTTAGCTTTTATAACACCAGTTTCGCTATTTATATTAAATATTTTTTCATGTTCTCCTCTTAGACTGTAAACGATTTTTTTATTTAATCCAATATCATTATCTTTGGCCTTGACTCCAAAAACAAAATCATCTTTCATAGTCCGTTCTGAAATATGTGTTTCATATACAGAGTGAGCAAAGGTAGGAGTATTATCGTTTTCATCTTCAACAATTATTGTAAGGTTGGCAGTGGCAGTGCGCGGATCAGTGGTAGATGAATCTTGTGCCATAATTATTAGATAATAGATATTCCATTCCTCCCTATCCAAAGTTGCGTTTGTCGAAATAACGCCTGACGCAGAGTCAATTGAAAATCTTTCTGATTTATCTCCAAAAAGACTATATCTAATCCTTGCGTTATTGCCGAGGTCTTTGTCTGTAGCTTTAGGATAAAGAATAACTGTTCCTGGAGATAAGTTTTCTTTTACTGTAGCTTTGTAGCTTTGTCTTTCAAAATCCGGGCTGTTGTCATTGACATCTTGTACAATGATTTTTACAGTGCCAGATCCAGTAAGAGGTGGTGAACCTGTAATAAGTAAAATAAAATTAAACGCGATATATTTTTTTAATCCTTGGCGCAAAAAGAGTATGTAATAAAATATTGTCGGGGATTTCAATGTTTTTATAATTATATTTTTGAGTATTTTTTTGCGACGGGTCGTTACGACCAAATTTTTTAAATTTATAACTTGTTAATAATTCTGTCATCATCAGTAGTAAAAAATGCTAGTATGATGCCCATAGCTCTGTTTATAAACAAATTGAGCAGTTATTTTAGACTACGCTAGAACTTATCTTTTTAATAACATGTATGTTATACTTTTATATTTGTATTATAATATATTAACTTACCTGTATCCATTGCAACCAAAGCTAATGTATATTCGTCTTGTGATTCTCTGTCTAACGTTCTCAATAAAGAAATTTGGCCAGAGGAAGCATTTATTTTGAATAGATCTGCATCACCTTCTTTAATAAAATAACGTACTTGATTGTTAAATGGCGGTGAATCTGCATCATATGCATGTATAGTTATTATATAACCACCATTAGGTGGTATTACATTCTCCATTACGTATGCTAAGTATGGAGAATCTAAGAAAGTAGGCGGGTTATCATTTATATCTTGTATAGAAATAGATATCTCAGCTGTATCATATTTAACATCGTCTTTAGCGCAATCTTCGGCTCTAATTGTCAGTACATAACGAGATTTTCTTTCAAAATTCAAGTTTTTAGCCACTCTTACTATTCCCGTATCTTCACTTATACTAAAATCTCTATTTTCATCACCAGACGCTATTGAATATCTCACTCTGCCATTAGCATCTTCATCAATATCCGTAGCAGAAACCTAGAACATTTGGAATTATATCACTTATGTAAGTAGAACAATAAATGAAAATACTATATTCCTCAATTTTTTCGCCTTTATAGTAGGAACATGATAGTAGGAACTTTCCAGATTTACATGATATATGTACAGTCATTACGTATGAATATTTATAGATTTTATCGGTAGAGGCATTATTTGAGATGTCCACTTGGACATGTCAAATAATGCCGTATTGTAGTTGCTGACAATATTTAGCAAAGTTTTTTTACCAAAGTTCCTTAGGCGTTTTCTCTCACAGTAATATAAATTAAATACAAAATATAGGAAAATAGATTTCCATTTGTAAAAATAATAATAGTTTAATTAAATATATAATATCACAAATTATTAACAATTAATTGAACCTTACTTGTAGCACATTAGCACCAATACTAGCATTTTCTGGAACAGACGCACTGTATTGTTTTGGGTCAAACACAGGACTATTGTCATTTTCATCAAGGATATTAATTTGTAATTTAGTTTTAGTAACATTTGGAGGATCGCCTCTGTCTTTAGCAGTTACTGTGATAATGTAACTAGACTTTAATTCTCTATCAAGTCTACCAGTTGCCCGTAATATTCCATCAACATTCCCCAATGAAAAATAACCATTAATATCAGAATCCGGATTTATAAAATATTCTACATATCCATTTCTTCCCTCATCTTTGTCAATAGCTTTTATAGTCATCACGACTGTATTTAGTGGTATATTTTCCGACACTGTTGTTACATTAGGTGATAAAAATTCAGGAGCCATGTCATTCACATCTTTTAATTGAATGGTTACCTGTAATAAAATCGTTAATAATAAATACATATTCTCGCATAATTATTTATTTATTCTATAGTAATTCTTATAATTAATTTCTAGATCCAGGTCTTAATCTCTTAATTAAAGAAAATAATCTTGGAAAACTAATCAATATATGCAATCTTTATGTTAATATAAAATAGAAAATCCTGAGAGTTCAACAATGGACATACAGCAATGATTTATGATATACTTAACTTAAGATGATGTTTTTTTTATTAATTTAGTGAATTAGCAGATACTTAACATACAACATTTACCTACTTGTTAAAATAAATATAAAATATATATTTCAAATTACTAAAAGAAACCACTGCATAATTAAAACATGTTTTTTTTTGGAAATATAAAGGAAATTAATATTGTTTTAAAATAAACAAAACAGAATTAACAAAATTATTCACCTGAACAGTAGAAGAAAGTTGCGGCTCTGGAGGTTTCGCCGAATCCTTAGCCGTTACAATTAAATTATATATAGGAATTATTTCCCTGTCCAATGATTTTACAGTATAAATAGTGCCATTGTTTGTTATCATAAAGTCGTGACCATCATCCCCAGATGTAATTATGTAGAGTAATTTTCCATTTAAGCCTAGAAATTATAGGAACAATTTTATATTAATAATAAAATTATACACATTAAAATGATTACAATATACATATATATATATATATATATATATATATATATATATATAAATATCCCCTTGGGCACTTTGTGGCTCAGACGTGCCGTATAGGTAGTTTTTTGTTGATCCTTTTTCACTTGTTGATCCGGAGGCCTTTTGTTGATCTAATGCCAGATGACCATATATAAATGTTGATCCGTTTTGAGCCACAACTGTCACGACGAGTAATAATAATAATTAAGCGATTTATACACGATTTTATACAAATCCACCTTTTTGGCATACGAGCAGTTCTTGATCCAATTCAAACGGGCCAATCAGGGTGCAGCATTTGCCAAGGGCTTCCTCATTGGCACGTTTGGGCTACTACATTATGGCTACAGTAACTTAATAATGTCTAGCTAGTATTTCAAAAATAATAGTCTACCTAATCTAAATATTTATAGAAATCAGTCTGGAGTAACGTGACTCCAGATCAAACCTCAATACTTGTTATTTTTTGGATGGGAATCTTTTCTTTTGTAACAACGTTACTGAGCGAATAAAGAGAAGACGCAACGGCGGATCCAGGGGGGAGCATCATGGAGGTCATGGGAGTCATGGGGGCGTCATGACTCTCCCCCCTCCTTAGCCCAGAACTTAGGTAGACCACTAATTGAACTAAAAAATAATGAAACAGCAAATTTTTTTGCACGATCGGAGTGTTGGTGCAGTAGTATTAATTATAATTAAACATTGTTACTTAAAACATAACAGTTAAAGTACTATAACACTAAAAGCAAAATAGGTATTTTCAAAATACTTTTTCAAAATAAATTACCCTTTGAGTTTTTGTTCAAACCTCAGATATTATATTTATTTTAGGTATATCAATCAATACATAGTATAGCATAGTACAGTCTGTCTGTCTGTCTGTTTGTTCCGGCTAATCTCTGAAATAGCTGGACCGATTTTGACGGGACTTTTTTTGGCAAGTAGCTGATGTAATAAGGAGTAACTTACGCTACTGTTATTTTAGAAAAATAAAATAAAATTTCACGCGGACGAAGTCGCTGGGGCCAGCTAGTCTATAGATATACCGAGATTTAATGTTTAAGTTGCTATTATGTTATTGACAAAATTTTACTGTAATGTTACTATTACGTTATCCTACACAATTTGTATTATTTTGGATGAATAAATAAATAAATAAATAAATAATAATCTATACATCTATACATTTAATAAAAATTGGAGTGTCTGTTTGTAATATTGAAAAAACCGTTTTTTACTACATGCATATGAATATATATAAGGTACATATACCAAAATAACTATTTTTATAATTTTAGTCTGTCTGTCTGTCTGTCTGTTTGTTCCGGCTAATCTCTGAAATGGCTGGACCGATTTTGACGGTACTTTTTTTTGGCAGGTAGCTGATTTATAAGGAGTAACTTAGGTTACTTTTATTTTAGAAAAATAAAGTTAAATTCCACGCGGACGAAGTCGCGGGAACACCTTGTTTTTAATAAAAACATCTTTTTTGTGGTACTTGAGAATGTTGAAGCCTGTTGTTTGTAATATTGAAATAACCGTTTTTTACTACTTGCATATGAATATAAATACGGTACATACACCAAAATAACATATTTTACAATTTTTGTCTGTCTGTCTGTTTGTTCCGGCTAATCTCTGAAATGGCTGGACCGATTTTGACGGGACTTTTTTGGCAGGTAGCTGATGTAATAAGGAGTAACTTAGGCTACTTTTATTTTAGAAAAATAAAGTTAAAAACCACGTGGACGAAGTCGCGGGAACAGCTAGTGTATAATATATTAGAGATACCTACGTGTTTTTTTATTGATGACTAGCTGTACACGGGATTTCGTCCGTGTTGAATTTAACTTTATTTTTCTAAAATATAAGAAGTTAAATTCCACGCGGACGAAGTCGCGTGTACAGCTAGTTGTCGGTAGTCTAGCGATTTAGCTAGCACACTGCTTTGATTCCTGCTTGGTGGTCGAGGGTTCGATTCCTCGCACGCTGCAAACATTTGTATTCATGAGTATGATTGTTTGTAACGGTCTGGGTGTTTTCTATGTATAGATAATATATATGTATTTACGAAAAAAAATCTTTGTATTTATATCAGTACCCATAACATAATCTTCAGCTAGCTTAACTTGGGTCTAGATGAAGCTGTGTGAATTGTCCTGAGATTACTATTATTACTATAATAAATCTTTTCAAATCAGCCGATGTTTATTTTTGCCATAATACGTGCTGTTACCATGTGATAATATTACGTACGTACTTATTAAACTATTAACTTATTATTAAATTATTAACTATTTATACTGTTTTAAATGTGATGCGTTCATTATTTATATTTCCTTTGAATTAAAGACAAATGTATATATATATATATATTTATATACACTTGCACACTTAGTTGATCCAGCCACGATCCGTAGATATTGCTGATCCACTGTCTCTCTCTTTCTATCACTATCTTTGTATTCTAATATGCGATGTTGCCGTTCCGGCCGAGACCATGCGTTGTTGCCAAATGTATTCGTCGATAGTAGTAGATACTTATACTCGATATATATTTTTTCAACAATTTCCTGCAATAGTGAATCCGTATCGGCATTTTTTTTAAATGCACAAAGATTTTTTGGCTCTGAATATATTTAAAAATCATTTACTTGTGTGTTGATGAATTTATATACTAGTACATGAAGTACCTAATACTTGTTTTGATTTGAATAGGTAGCGATATTATCGGCCTTATTACAAAAAGATAAACCTGGTTTAGCACTAGTAATAAACCATTCACCAATGTATTCCTTATTACAAAATGAAGTTTATCTCTAAATCGTGATTCGTCTATGGTCTAAAGTTAGACCTGCGATGCCCCTAGTTTAACAGTGGTCTAAATGCAAAAATACAAACTCTATTTTAAAAATTCTATTGTTAGTTGTAGTTTTTGGAAAAATATTTTAACTAAATTAAAAATATATTAACTAAAAATATTTAAAGCTAATTTTACGACAATAAAAATATATAAAAGACGTTATTTGTTATTTTTTCACTCATTTGACTTTGAAATAGTCACCATTCGAACGATCCAATAAAAATATCTCGCCGTTCCTTTTCTCCGTATAGGACTCCTACTTGTAATTTAAAACTGATTTTCAGCCTAATAGTACATTAATAATATTATATATTAATGAAATAGTTATAATGAAGACATAGATAAATAGAAATAAATTTATTTTTAGTTTATACATTTTTCTTTGAACTAATATTATTTTTGATCTTTTCAGTTTTCTGGTAAAATGGAACGTAATTGTACGGTGACAGACATGAGTGACTGATTTCTGTATGGAATATATAATGAACGATTTAACTGTAGTACTAAGTAGTCCTCTGTTAGATCTGGATTCGTAATAATGTTAGGTTTATTCCAAGTATTAACTTTAGGAATGGTTTAAACCACGACCATTTAGACCACGTTTCGTCCGAGTTTTAACAGATTTTTTGTAATAAGACCGTATGAATTTATTATACGTAATCTAAAGATTTTGACGAAATAAAAGTAATTAGTTATCTGTTAACCTTGACTTCATGCTGGCACCAGTATTATCAGATGATGAACATACTCTTCGAAAACTTACAGCAGAAATATCGTGTTTGGACTCATTAGATAGGTCTCGATGAATAGAGTTTAAAAAACTTAAAATAAATGGTACATTAGAAATAATGTATAAAAACCCCTTACGTAAAATTCAACCACTTTAAACTTAATAATAATAATAATTAGGAAAAGAGAAAAGCTATACATGCACTGAAAGTAATTGATGCCTTCCACACAATATTTTCAGTATTAAACAACTCTGTTTGTTCAGTAAAAGTGTAAATACACTGGTAACCTTTAATCATATTTTATATGCAAACATTACATATACAAACACTAAAGTTTTATTTCAGAATAGCCAGTAGTTTTCAAGAAATAAGTCTTTGAAATTGTACGTGTAACTTATATATATATACCTACTAGTTTTTTCACCATAACAAACAACACCAATATGGCCTAGTTAGTAGTTTACCTGTGTACCAATTAATAATAATAGTAATCTCAGGACAATTCACACAGCTTCATCTAGACCCAAGTTAAGCTAGCTGAAGATTATGTTATGGGTACTGATATAAATACAAAGATTTTTTTTCGTAAATACATATATATTATCTATACATAGAAAACACCCAGACCGTTACAAACAATCATACTCATGAATACAAATGTTTGCAGCGTGCGAGGAATCGAACCCTCGACCACCAAGCAGGAATCAAAGCAGTGTGCTAGCTAAATCGCTAGACTACCGACAACTAGCTGTACACGCGACTTCGTCCGCGTGGAATTTAACTTCTTATATTTTAGAAAAATAAAGTTAAATTCAACACGGACGAAATCCCGTGTACAGCTAGTCATCAATAAAAAAACACGTAGGTATCTCTAATATATTATACACTAGCTGTTCCCGCGACTTCGTCCACGTGGTTTTTAACTTTATTTTTCTAAAATAAAAGTAGCCTAAGTTACTCCTTATTACATCAGCTACCTGCCAAAAAAGTCCCGTCAAAATCGGTCCAGCCATTTCAGAGATTTGGCGGAACAAACAGACAGACAGACAAAAATTGTAAAAAATTTTATTTTGGTGTATGTACCGTATTTATATTCATATGCAAGTAGTAAAAAACGGTTATTTCAATATTACAAACAACAGGCTTCAACATTCTCAAGTACCACAAAAAAGATGTTTTTTTATCAAATAAACAGTTTTTATTAAAAACAAGCTGTCCCCGCGACTTCGTCCGCGTGGAATTAACTTTATTTTTCTAAAATAAAAGTAGCCTAAGTTACTCCTTATAAATCAGCTACCTGCCAAAAAAAGTACCGTCAAAATCGGTCCAGCCATTTCAGAGATTAGCCGGAACAAACAGACCGACAGACAGACAGACAAAAATTATAAAAATTGTTATTTTGGTATATGTACCTTATATATATTCATATGCATGTAGTAAAAAACGGTTTTTTCTATATTACAAACAGACACTCCAATTTTTATTAAATGTATAGATGTATAGATTATTATTTATTTATTTATTTATTCATCCAAAATAATACAAATTGTGTAGGATAACGTAATAGTAACATTACAGTAAAATTTTGTCAACAACATAATAGCAACTTAAACATTAAATCTCGGTATATCTATAGACTAGCTGGCCCCAGCGACTTCGTCCGCGTGAAATTTTATTTTATTTTTCTAAAATAACAGTAGCGTAAGTTACTCCTTATTACATCAGCTACTTGCCAAAAAAAGTCCCGTCAAAATCGGTCCAGCTATTTCAGAGATTAGCCGGAACAAACAGACAGACAGACAGACAAAACTTGTAAAATATGTTATTTTGGTGTATGTACCGTATTTATATTCATATGCAAGTAGTAAAAAACGGTTATTTCAATATTACAAACAGACACTCCAATTTTATTTACATGTATAGATGTGAAAAAAGTAACAGTCATAAGGCTAGTCGTATGCCTAATATATATAATAATGTAATAAATTCATTTAAACAGAAATTGCGGGAACATTATTTAAATTTGTAACTTTTTTACTGTCCTTCTCCTTTTTTCACATCTTTCTGTTATATCCATATAGTTCTCTCTATATTTTCTGATTTTCTTACTTTCAATTTGAGACTGTACTTATAATTATATATAATATTTATACATTTATGGCTTATATTTAGATATATATTTATGTATGTATATTGTTATTTTTTTATAGAAATGTATATTTTGCTTATCTTTATTATCTTTATAAATCTTTTTTTGACATTTCTTATTTATATTAGTGCACCGCCAATAATCTTTCGCTGCACCACTCATGGTTGCCTGGTAAATAACGCGGCAAAATATTAAGTCCGCCACATGTACAAATTTTTTTGTGCATTAAAGTTAAAGAAATAAAAAAATACAATACTGTTTAATGAAAATGCGTGTTGTCTAGTGCTTTGAGATGTATCAAAATAAGGTCAACAAAAAAGTCCGTGATGGTATATGTCTATCTCTTAAGGATAACCAACAATAACCATTTTTTATCTTTTACATTTTACGGGATTTTTTTTTATCGTATGTTTCCCTTAAAATCATGTAAACTATGTTATTATGTCATAATCTAAAGAAATAATAATATTTTATAGTGACATATCCACTATAAAATACCAAAAAGTAGCAATGTAATTCGTTACGCGCGAATCAGGTGTTATAAGGTCAAAGGTCGGTGCACCCCGCGTATTTGATAAATAGTGCTTCTCTGGATGTCTTTAAGAGAAAATGGCAGTATGTACGTGTATATGTACAAGTCCTTAAGTGTTAAGTTTTTCAAATGTACATACAGTAAAGAATAAATATTTTTAAGTACAGTACTTACGTACATTAATATAATACCTACTTTTTACTTGTATCTATTGTTATCAAAATTAAATTATAAGTTCTTAACTTGACCACGACTATGTGACCCTCTCTTGGCGCCAAAACGAGTGAAAAAATGAACAGCATACGACGACGACGCAGTACCTATAGAGTGGAGCAACTGCTTATTCAGTTTCATTCAACTATTTAGTCCCTCCACCGTTACAATGAATGGAGGCGGATATTACAATGTACGTAGCATTGCGAATATAAAATATCTAGATTAGGTATAATAAATTCATAATTCATAGGCCGTTACGGTATCAGAGCCAAAGTCTTCTTTCTTTGTTTATGTACTGTTAGATGCGACAGCGACTTTGTTTTTATATTACTATGTAATGATTGATATACCTAAAATAAATAAAATATCTGAGGTTTGGACAAAAATTCAAAAGGTACTTAATTTTTAAAAAGTATTTTGAAAATACCTATTTTGCATTTAGTATTTGAAATACAAAACACAAAACTATTTTTGTTTTTAGAGTGACATTTCTATGAATTCACTGTCGATAGCGAGCGGTGCGATGGAAAAAGATAACCGTTTATAAAAATATAATAAATAACCCTGGACAATTAACACAGACTGATACTGAACTGATATAAATAGATATTTTTATTTTGTAAATACATATATAATATACATATAAAACACCCAGACCGATGAAAACAATCGATGACCGATGAGTACAAATGTTTGCATCGTGCGAGAAATCGAACCCGCGACCATCGGATGTAAAGCGGTGTGACCACCGAGGCAGTCGAAATATATGAATAATCTTATGAATTTAATTTATTCTAATTTGTTTGTGTGCGCGGGGTGCGGTGTACGGTGCTCCCCCCTGCCTCCACCGTTGCTGGAGCTTGCATGTATGGAGCATTGCGAATATAAAATATCTAGATTAGTAAATTCATAATTGATAGACCGTTACGGTATCTATATATATTCGGATTAAAATAAGTATCGCAGTAAGGACCAGTATATAAAGTGATCAACACAATTAACTGATTTTTGAAATATATATACAGAGCCAAAAAGTCTTTGTGTATTCAAAAAATATCTAATTTGTTTGTGTGCGCGGGGTGCGGTGTACGGTGCAGGGGGGACCCTGCCTCCACCGTTGCTGGAGCTTGCATGTATGGAGCATTGCGAATATAAAATATCTACATTAGTAAATTAATAAAGTCATAATTGATAGACCGTTACGGTATCTATATATATTCGGATGAAAGTAAGTATCGCAGTAAGGACGAGTATATAAAGTGATCAACATAATTAATTGATTTTTGGAATATATTCAGAGCCAAAAAGTCTTTGTGTATACCAAAAATTTAGCCGTTCGGAGCCATTCAGTCACGAATTATTAGTAAAAAAAGTGTCGAGTATATCGTACTATCGACGAATATATATGGCCGCATCGCAAAATAGAATGCGACGTTGCCATACCGCCTGAGATATACGCGATAGAGGTCAAGTTATTCAGTGCAAAAGGTGGAATCGGCAAGTGTTTAGGTTGTCGCGTGATCAACAAAGTGCCCAAAGAGGTGTTTATATATATATATATATATATATATATATATATATATACATATATATATATCGGTATATACTTACAAGAACTATAGATACCTTTTAGCTGCATTAACATAATACATATCTTATTATTTTAGTTTTTAAATACAAGTAAGAAATGTGTTACATGTATGATAACTTCTTATGTATGTACCAATTATTAGTATTAAATAATGATATACCTGAATCCATGTCTGTTGCACTGATTGTCACAACAGATGATCCGATTGGTACGTCTTCTAATATTTCATTGGAAAAACTCATTGGATCAAAAATGGGAGCATTGTCATTGAGATCAATTACATTTACGTAAACCGTGACAGTTCCAGAAAGGGATGGATGTCCATTGTCTTGAGCTTGAGCCACTAAAATGTAGTGTTGCGTCTGAAACACGTTTAATGTAAAAATTAGTAAAAAGTATATATGAACACAATATAATAGGGCTGCACGAGCTTATTATGTATTTTGTTAGACTTTACTTTTACGTTAGTGGTAACAAAACGGGGTTCCGTTTATTTGTAGAAAAGGCAAAGTTTATTCATATAGGATATTATTTGCAACTTATGCACGTCAGCAATGGTTACCATTTTCTTACATCAAGGGGACGGCCCACTTGTTTTCTATACCAATTGTATAAAAAATATTATGCTTGTGTTACGCTTTTTGTCTAGTACTCCAATTTACATTTAAATATATACGTACACTAATGTAGATAGATACATATATATATTTCACAAAACATTCTCGACAGTAGAAGCAATAACATTAGGCCAATGATGCTGCTATTCAGATTTTCCATGTAATAGGACTGTAAAACTTCCCAGCTATGACGAGCTTCTCATTCGCGAATCATGAAGCGAGATAGCCATTAAAAAAACAAGCAGTAGTCGCGGAATCCGGCCCGGAGATGTTTTGCGGACGGCCGCTTTGTAAGACATTGTTCAAGCCTTAATTTCGATGGCGGATCGAGCGGCCAAATGCCGAATATGATGCGCGACGCGAAAAAACTATACCGGGATGAAATTAGCAGCTCTCTAGTGCAGTACGCGGAATTGGCAGGCGGTCGGGCAAACGAATGTACGCGAGGAATTGTTTTACTAATTAGGTTTGGTCGACTTGATGAGTCTCGAATGAGACACATCGGTCACTGACTGAATCTCAAAGAGAGGTTTATAAATTATAAAATGTTAAATATTACAATAATGAGTATGCCATTACATAGCAGAATAGGTAATTAATAATTTAACTTCCATCTTGTCAAATATATTATATATTTAATTCATTTGACAAGATGGATGTTTAGTTATGGCAAAAAAATCTGTAAACATAAGTTTCTACTTTGTCTACACACAAAACGTTTCTGAGTTCTGATTTATGGCCACAAGAATTTAACGACGTTTGCGAAGTTACAGCTCCATAGATGAGTAGGTACCTACTACTATAATGTGGTAAGGTAGTGAACAGTACACTGAAAGTGCACATAAGAAGTGTATGGGATTATAAACCGTCAAATGTTAGACTGCTAGGAATGAGAATATTACACAGTGGCTCAATCATGAATTATATATGAGAAACAGAATAATCATAAGAATTCTAAATACAACGATGGTACAATTAAGCCAATAACTCAATGATAAAAATTATCTTTGCTCACGCTTATTATGAAATACCTAAAATAGAGCAGCTGAAGGACACGCAATTTAATAATAATTTATATAATATTAAATAATAATCGTTCATTGTTTTAATGAACAATCTAAGCTTAAAAATCTTGGTTAAAAAAACTAATTCATCGTCACCATAAGGGTCAATACCATACATATCATTCCATCTTCATCCACAATATCCACAAAATTAAGTCGGTAGTCAATTACTACATCTGGCAGTTTTTAATACATATATGTATTTTCATATATTATAATATAGCATAAAAATTATTTTACATTTACTTGTTTATATAAAATTACTGTAGGCAGACATAATAACTAGATGGCGTGGTGTGAATTGATTTAGACTGTTATGAGTATATAAGACAATAACTATATGTAACTATAGGTACAGATGATGGGAATACCACCTAAAGTGAAGTTGGGTATATAATCTCATAAAGAACGGTGTATTTCACATAAATGGGTTCTTAATCTTTTCACATAGTGGTCGTCTTGTATTAAAATCCCGCTCAGGGCCAACACAGCCCTTTGTTTCGAAATTGCGCATCTTGTCTACAACATGCAATATTTTACACGGCTAGTAATAAATTTTACTAACTTGTATATAATATCTGCGCCCAAAAGGTTTCGGGTTGACGAATGAATATACATACATACATACATACATATACTCGCATTTTTATATCTGAGGTTTTATGACTTTGTTTCCATAAAAACAGAAATAATAAATGTAAAACGTAAGTATATTTTTAAACCTTATTTCTGTTAAAATCACGTTTATATGTTTTTTTCAGAGAAATATTATAATTAGTAATTAAAATGACCAATTACGAATATTCTATTTTTTTTAATCTAAAATTCAAATATTTACTTTCATAAATCATTCATATATATATATTTGTTAGTATTTTAAATGGTGGTTTACAGCTTCCTCTTTCATAGAAATTCTGATTGTGACAATTGAACTTCGCATTCATTGTCCACTATTATATCGAATAGTTTGTGGTGTGATTAGTAAATATTGCAACAAAAAACATAACCATACATTTCTCTTACTTTCAAGTTAATAATATAATTCTCTAATATTCAGATTAGGAGTAATATTAAGACGTTGATATATGTTATATATTTGTTCATAACCCCATAACCTTATTCTATTAAATCGATTTTAAATAATGCGAATACAAATAAAAAGAGGACCTATAATTCCAATAGTATTAATAACAACTTTAGGACTTTTGTAATGATAAGAACCATCGTCGTCGTTCAGTAGAGCAGCTTTATGTCTACAACGGTCAACGCCCCTTTAGATCTATGTTAAGATAATTCTTTCGACCGCAATGTATGGCCCGAAGCACTCGGGGGCAGCGTCAGGCGGACGTGAATACCTACCTACCTACTCTAAAAATAACTTCCACTTGCTCTTGTAAAAGCAGCTTTTATATTATATTTTTCACTGTTACATAGTAACGATGCAAGATTGTAAAAATCGATTTATGTGTGTATGTACATGTATATATAACAAGAATAATTTTTAAGCAACGCACTGGAATCTTTACTCTGATACCGTTTGGCAGTAGGTTCACAACATTATCTATAACTATTAACTTATTTCTTATAAATAACCACTAGTTCTTGTATGTGTATTTTAGAAATATGATAATATATGAATTCTTGTATATAGCATTATAAAGAAAAGGTTCCATATAAAAAATTGTAACAATTAAACATAACGTAAGAACAATATTTAGCAGTATATAATAATCGTTTTCATTTATATTAAAATAAAAGTATTTCGTGCACCTAGACCACACGAATAAATCAACAAAATTACAAGATCTCATAGAATAAGTATGACTAACAGAGATCAGCCAGATAACTTTATAACAGTCTAAACAATTATAATTACTTCACAGAGTTGCCTTGTCAGAACTAATAGTAAATCTATTATGATATGCGAAAATAATTTAGATCCGAATATCTAGTAATTCTACAATTTCCTCTGTTTTATATATGATTACTTTTTAAATAACTAAATCAGCTAATATATATTTACTTATGAATAAATTGGTTTTATAAATATTCCATCATGTATCGTGAACATTAATATTACGTAATAGCGCATACAGTCATATGCAATTTTTATTAATGTAATATTTGAATGAACTAACTTACCTCTTCATAGTCTAATCGCGTTGTCAACGTGAATACTCCGGTTTGCGGATTCAATGAAAATACATCATTGGCCCAATCCGATATGAGAGTGTACGTCAGCTGTGCATTGGGGCCAGAATCTAGATCTATAGCTGCCACTGTGCCGACTATTGAACCTCTGGCAGCATTTTCAGGTATATTAAAGGAGTATGCGTTCTCTTTGAATGTTGGCGGGTTATCATTTGTGTCCGTCACCTGAAAGTATTCATTATAATTGAATTATTTTGCGCATAATTATTATTTATTTTATTAGCTTCGAAGAAACCCGCCGAATAGTCGCATTACATACAAATTTGTTTTTTATATAACTGCATGAGTTTTAAAAAATTAGTTAACATTGTACTTATGTAAATTTGTAATTCGTAATTAAAGTACTATAAATGTCGAAAATCTGGAATTAATTAGAAGGTCCATTGTGTTATACAAAACACAATGGACCTTGAAATGTGTGTTATCAAAGCCTGTATGTCATCCAGAGCAATTTAATGCTCAAAATAAATCACAAAGGAATGATTTAACCTTAACAATCAGTACCTCACCAAAAAATATTTATTACAAGCTATTCTGGAATATTAAAAGAATAGACTATTATATTATTTTATAACCTGTGAGACAGAATTTTAGAAGGAAATGAAAGTAAATGTTAAACTATTATTATTTAGTATGCAGAAACTCTCAATTGAAAACCAATAATTGACTTACTTGCACTATTATAGAGACATCTGTAAATTGTACTCCGTCATCAGCTCTCACTAAAATTTCGTATTCTGATATAGTTTCTCTATCCAAAGGATCTTTAAGCGTAAGCAATCCAGTTTTAGAATCCAATATAAAAGGCACCGGTTCTTCTGTCTGGATACTGTATACAATACTTCCGATAGTGTCTGGGTCTTCAGCCACGATAGTAGCAATGCGCTGACCTGGTGCTAGGTCTTCAGAAGCAAGATATGCCGTTGGTATATTCTTGAATTCTGGTGGGCTGTCATTTTTGTCCAGAATTATAACTTGCACCTGAAAATTAAAAAAAATATGTTATTAATATTATTTCTCAGAGATAAATGTTAAAAGAACATATCGAAAGCGAAAAAAATTCATATATCATTCATATATTCATATGTCATTGGTAATGACTATCTATCACTTGTGCTTCCACACCTTTTCCTGTTATCATTTTAGAATAATTTTAGTTAAAGCTTATTATAAAAAAATATACTAAAAATCCCTATAACTTCCAAATCCAGTAATTTGTTAGATTTGATTTAACAAATAATTATAAAGTATACCTTTATCTTTCTATAACTTAAAAAGTAAAGATGAGGATTCGAACCACCTCCTTATATGAGCAAGAAGTTAGCGACTGTATGAACACCTCCATCACTAGGGCTGGCACTTGGGTTTTGTCTACGATATAAATATTTTCTATTACAATACCCAGCAATTTCACTGATATATCCCATATTCCAAATTTTAATGAACTTATGTGGAGATATTTAGTAGTTATATTATAATTACATAATATACACTTTATATTCTGAATATATAGAAGTATGAAATGCAAATTTTGGATAACAAAACGTTTTTAATAAAACAGTCACAAGGGAGAGTAGATATTGTTTTATTTATGAGACAGGCATACAATCGACTACCTTAAAACATATGTAGAAAAACAAGAATCAATTAATAATTCTAAAAATGCAGCCGGTCAGTGGCGTCGACGAAATGTACGTCACAGAGAACAGTAACGAATAACGAAAAGTCCTGTTTCTTACATACCGGTAGAGGTTATTTAGGACTATGTTGCGCACGTGTGTTGGCCACAAAATTAGGGTGAACATATTAAATGTGCGAGAAACAAGGTAACTAGGTATTTTCTAATTAATTCATGACAAATTTTGTAAAAAAAATATTAGGTGATTTTGTTGCATTAGATCGTTTTATTTGCTCAGCTAAAGACTTTGTTTTATGTACATAATTTGTGATACTTATCAGTCGTTATATAGCATACAGAACTGAGTGGAATATGCAGAAAGGTAAGTTTTCGATGCATTCATCAATATGATTAATGGGCCCACTTTAATTCACTTTTCGTAATTCATTTTTACTTCTTAGACTATCGTTTTTAACTCGCCGCTTTATGTATATTTTTGATGACTTTTTGTTGGAGTATTTTGCAAAGATTGATTATCTGTGAATATAATTACACAGTTCAATATCATTAATGAAGGACCGATAGTTTTTCTTCATGTGGTTTATGTTAAAGTAACATTATATTATTGAGTTTTTTATAGACCAAATCTGTCAACGTTTTTTAGTGGACGCCTAAAACGAAGTCAGTGTTTAGTAGTTTAGTCTCCGTTGATGCGATATATTAGATAAGATTTATGAATCCAGAGGCGAGCTTTATAAATGTAGCCGGTGAACGTTTACAAAAAGCATACGGAAAGAACTCGACAAGTCAACAAAGGCAGAGAAGTAAAAGACTAAAACGGACCAGTATTTCGTCATCGGTGCTCTGAAGCACGAAGAATTCGAGATACAATGATCGAAGCCGTCACAGATAAGAAGGGACCGATTGTAGAGAGTTCCCTGCCCTCTGTGAGGAGAGGCTGCGCATTTGTTATGATGACTCAATCTTTTCTTTGTATCCAAAGTTCCAAACGAGGGTGCCGTCCGCCTTGTAAGAAACATGCATAGAAAGGCACCACTCGAGACGCCCACGTATCTTTACGTAAGAGAAGCAGCAATTAACGTTGTTTGTACGACCGTACCTCTTGAGGAAATAAATTGTGATGTGTGTGTTAATAAAATTTATTGTTCAGAAATTAAGAATGCATGAGAAAAACGTCGGATCGATCGAAACATTTACATTGTGGTTGTAACTGTACAAATTCCCAGTGAATTTATTACCTACTGAATTGTGATAATTTATAACGGAAATATTAGAATTTGTAGCTATTATTATAAACTGTATAATTATACTGACCTACGTTTGTGTCTGCTGGACATATAATATTATTTTAAATTACTGTTATCCGTTTTGTTTAAAATACACACACTCTGTGATTTGGTATAAATAGGAACAAAACCGATTAAAAAGATTTATATTTATTTTAACAAAAAGTCCTGACTGTAGCTGTTCAGTGCCTTGCGCTAGAGGACCCCCTAGAGTTTATATTTGAAGTAATCGATTAAGCGAAGAGAAATGACAGTGCGTCGGTTTAGTATGGTAGTCGATTAGTCAAGTTTTGATAATTGATTACGGTTCACTACTAGATTAATAACAAATAATACATGTTTTCATGTAGATCAACAGTTGAAAAATGATCCACATTTATAGAATAATAGTAAAAATATATAATCGTTACAAATATTATAATATGAATTCTTATCAATTGAACATTAAATGAGTGTTTTTTAACAGAAAAATACTGGTATTAATCATATGTTATGTTAAAAACTTTATAATAATATAATACTTTATACAATAATCATGAAAACATTCGTACCGTGCAAGGAATTGAACCCGAGACAATCGGAGGCGAATCGGTGTTTAAACCGCTAGACCACCGAAGCCATCATGTATTTCATAATATTATTTCATACAAAACTTTAATTAACTTCACACTAACTAGCCTACAGCCATTCAATGCTTATTACTGAACAAAGATATTTTTCATAGATTACAAATTCGAGCTAAATGACTGGCCAATTGCCGCTAAACCTTCAGGCTATATCAACAACCTGCTATAGAGGTGCCCGTTTTGTAATAAAAAATATAAATATTAAATATAATTTCAAATTTTAACGATTTTTATGGTATAACGGATACAACCTGTCTCATGGTCACAGGTTCGGTTCCCGGTACAATATAAAAATGTTTAGAGTGATTGTTAAATATGTTACGAATAGTGTAACATACTCATTATGTACTAAAGTTATATTATATTGTAGTATTATTATATAAATAGATAACGCACTTTGTAAAAATATAAATAAATGTGATAATTTTATACAAATATTAATTAAAAACGTTAGTAATTATTACATTATCATACTCGTAATATTTTAATAACAGTTCATATTACTATTTTATATATACCTTACAACTAATTTGAATGATATATTACAAAACTAACATCAAACATAGTTAGAATAAGTAACCTTACTAAATCATATAAAATAAGCATCAATCTAGTTGTTGTAATGTGATAGTTCACATTATGTCGTACACAAAAAAATACGGTAAAACTAGCACTAGCAATGCATTACAGATATTATTAATATGGAAATTATGTGTTGATTGTAACAAATGTTACCCATTTTTCTTGCTTTTAATTCTTCGCATAGAGTGGTATACACTTCGCAGAGGTAGTAAATATAATTTATTTATATTTCCTGTTAGCGGAGAAAGATAATATGTTACAAAGATATACTCATGTAGTATTTGAGTATATTTTTATTATTACATCTAAAGATGATTTCTGGGTACAGATAGAATAACGAAAAAACATAGTTATCTATAATATAGGTAATATAATATAATATAATATGTAATATTGTATTATATAAAATAATTATTTCAATAACTTATGTTTTATTTTTACAATAATATTTAATGAGCAGTAACGCTAGAGGCTGTGATGAGTTCTCCGTACTCAGTATTCACCGTACAAAAGACATCCGCTTAAAGTAGAAACAATTGTTGTGAAAGACGAAACATATTAAGTTAATGAAATTCCCCTTCATAATTATAAAAATATAGATCGAATTAAAAATACTTTGACCTCAAATGTACCTACACCTTTCTTTTGACTCTGAAAAATGACGATGCGTGGTATTCGTTTTGGAAACAGTGTAATTTCACGAACATCAATCATTCGAGTCGCTTGCCTTCAAAATGTTTAAATCACTCCTTTTATTACTTTATACCTATATTTTATATAATTTTACTGCGAATTTATACATTATCCAAATCAACTATGGTAACCCGTAATCCGTAACATGACAGGAATATTAATTAATATGGACTCTTATTATAAAAAAGATTAAAGAAAAATCATAAAAATCTATCATATACTTATATTATTTTGCAGTAAGTAATTTTTGATGCATGTTTCTATAAATCTAAAATATAATTGAAATATTCTAAATCTTAACAATGTCATAGCAGCAAACAGTTTTTAAAGTATTATTACATTTTAAGGTTTAAGGATTACATATTTATGTTAAATCGGCGCCGTGAGCAAAAGCTACATCAACTTATGAGTGGATGGTGTCGTCGGACGGATATGGTGGCATCGTTTAGGGCTAGACTCTATGTTTAGAGATGTTCGTGACCGCAGAGAGCCGCTATACCCTCGGGACTGTGCACAATTATGTTATGGTGTCAGAGATTAGTGAGCGAGACGCGGTACTGATCTTTATGGTTTCTTATTTGTTTTCTACCTGCCAATTAATATAAGACGACCTTTATAGTTATTAGACGCATTGTTTGATGTGAAAAAACAATTAGTTTGATTTTTTTGTTAAGTAAAATAATCATGAAACCAAAAATTTTAAGAAGATTAAATGATGTTTCTTAAAATAAATAATATATTTAATGTTTATTTAAAATCTATTTGTATTCAAACAAACAGAGGGCGTGCTTATTAAAGATTTAAGCATGTGCCTATCTGCGCGCCCAACAGTTTACCGCATGCATTAGCATGCGACCGGTGGATCCGCCTACACTGACTATCGGCTGCATCCCCGTAAATATATGTAAAATATGCACAAAAGTACCCAGGATAAAGTGTATCGATAACAGGCGACGCAATTTGCATCGCTCTCGGCGCATCTCTGAATATTCGGCCCGGTATTTACCGAAAACACGAGAAATTTCACGTCACTTCTTAGCCGCCATGCCCAGCGGTGGCAAATCTTTTGATGTTCATGAAACAGATACGTCACCTATATACATACTAGGTACGTTTTGTGGATTTTCTTGATAAAAAAATATTTTTATGACGTTG